GGTCTCACATTCATGAGCACCAACCTCAACTATATGAGGAAAATCTTGTGACTCCTTTATTGCTTTGGAGTCTTTATCTTTCCCGTGATCCCAACTGTAGTTATTTACCACAACTACATTAGCTAGTTTGCTAAGTCAAACGCTCATCTGGATCACATCCTCAACTCCTTGAGGAAAACCATATACTGTTCCCAAGATCCCAAAGTCGTTCCATTATTGGCCCTTTTCTATCCACCACCTTGTCTACAAGTTCACCCATGAACTGTAATGAAGAGCCATATCTTCCCGACTTGCTACTCCTCAAGGATAGGCCCACTTCTCGGACCTTCCGTTGCCAACACCAGTGGTGATATACTTGAGCACCAATAAAAGTCGGACTAAGGAACAGCTCCGATACCAAATTGTAAGCGACTAAATTTTCCATTCTACTTTAGTCACTTAACCACACTTCTGACCACTTGGAGGAGTCTCATTCACAACCTCCATAAGTCCAATCCAGGACTTGGGACTTGCTAGCCCCGAGAATGGCATCCATGCCACTCAACATTTGCACTTGGTCCAAGTGCTCCACGTGTCCGATCCCATGACCGACACTCAAAGGTACCACCGACATAGCTGCCCGTTACGCTAAGGCCATGCCCAATCACCTTTGCCACACTGGTAGTCCAATACCACTTGCATCACCATCTTGGCTCTCCAAGACTAGGCAAACCATCCGTGAGTGGTCATCTCAAATCCATTCCTTAGCATCCTTAGGATGCCCACCGACAAGGGGAATAGCCTTCCCCAATATCCCTCTGTCAGTCCCCACTAAGTCCCTTTCTGCCCCTGGCCGTGTTTGCCAACACTGCCACTGGATCGAGACCCACAGGCCCGACCACTAAGTCCCACGGTCCTCTGGGACTTCCCCACCACACGACTGTGTCCTTGGTCACTACCCCAAAGGACTACTCCTCTTCCTTTCCACAGTCTGGGCCTTTGGGACAACATTTCGGAACACCGTGGCCTTACGCGAGCCATCTGGGTACTCTCCTCGCCTTCTGCCCTTGGGTGCTCTAGCCATGGGCTTAGAGCGGGTTCCGTTGAGCCACACCAGGTATCCAAGTAGGTAGTGCCACCCACACTTGGACTGGGAGCATCGGCCAGTCGATCTCCCGGGGGAACTAGAGCCGGCTCTTGAACACTTCACCAAGCTACCCCGCTTGTCGGTCTGTGTTCACTCTAGTCTTGGACTTCCCAGTGGGCAGCTCATCACCCAACACTGGGTCCGGCCTTCCTGGGCCAAACTGGCCTTTCCTGGCCAAACTGGCTCCACTGCAGTCCTCCCCCTACTATACTTTTGGAGCTCACCAAACCCCCTAGGGTCTGGGAGACGAACGCTTTGGGCTTTCACCCTCTCAGGCTCGGACTCGGACTCGGACTCGGACTCGGACTCGGACTCAGACTCGGACTCGGATTCGGACTCGGACTCGGGCTCGGGCTCGGTCTCGGCCTCGGCCTCGGTCTCGGTCTCGGTCCCGATCTCGGTCTCGGTCTCGGTCCCGGTCTCGGTCTCGACTTCGGACTCCATCTCGGACTCCATCTCGGACTCCATCTCGGGTCCACCTCGGACTCCATCTCGGACTCCATCTCGGGTCCATCTCGGACTCCATCTCGGACTCCATTTCGGGTCCACCTCGGACTCCATCTCGGACTCCATCTCGGACTCCATCTCGGGTCCATCTCGGACTCCACTTCGGACTCCAACTCGGGTCCATCTCGGGTCCACCTCGGACTCCACTTCGGACTCCATCTTGGACTCCATCTCGGGTCCATCTCGGACTCCACTTCGGACTCCAACTCGGGTCCATCTCGGGTCCACTTCGGACTCCACTTCGGACTCCATCTCGGACTCCACCTCGGGTCCATCTCGGACTCCACTTCGGACTCCAACTCGGGTCCATCTCGGACTCCACTTCGGACTCCAACTCAGGTCCATCTCGGACTCCACTTCGGACTCCAACTCGGGTCCATCTCGGACTCCACTTCGGACTCCAACTCGAGTCCATCTCGGACACTCCCACGTGTTATGTGTTGGTCCTTTTGGGTCCCTTTTTGGAGCCTCGCCTTTTGCTCGCTTCGTGCTCGTTCCTCGAGCACTTCGTTGGGAGTTCCACTCCCGCTCTTGACTTTTCAAGTCGGAGCTTTTGGTCCAAACGTGTTACGCTCGTTTGGCTCTCGCTTCGGCCACTACCATGTGGCACCCTTCCGGCTCCACTTTGGGGCCTAGGGATTTTGTGTCTCACAGGTAGCCGTCGGATTGATTTCAATCCGGACCACTCGCTTCTGTATATAAGCTAGGGTTTTTGGGCTAATTGATATGCACATTTCTGTATTCCCTTTCTATATTCCATGCACTCACATATATGTGTGTGTGCATGTGTGTGTGTAAAAGTAAGATTTAACATGAAAAACCACACACAGACTTAAGGATCAATAATGTACTCATGTTTGTGATCCCATACCATAAAGTCTAGAAAACAAGCAAGGAAATGCTCATTGATAGGAATTCTTTGAATTTGCTTTAACTTTAAAATACACACTCAATGTGTGAAAAACTATTTGCAAAAAAGAAAATAAAATTACCTATTTTGATGTAGCATAAATATCTTGAACCAATTGGATGCTGCAAAATCCTTGTCATCAACTAGACAAATCAATTAGACTGCTTATAAGCTTTATTTCATTAAAATGGGACTTTTGTTGTCTCATTTAAGCTGTTTATACATTATTATCCAAGAAAATAATAAGTTTTTTTCTCTTATAAAAAAGAATTGAGTGTGAGGTTTGGGTATAAAATCTATATCCAAATTCCAGGTCCAAGATTTTTATATAAAACACTCATTTTATAGTAAATTTCTATAAACCTAAATCTCAAATTTAGAAATAATTCCTATTTTAACAAAATAGAGTTTTTATGGAGTTTACTTTATGGTATTGAAATTAGCACTACAAATGTAGGCTTGAACTAATTCAGCTAAGGTGCTCATAAAATTTCCCAAATCATACAAGGCTATCTTTGTCAAACCCTATTCAGACAAAAACACATTAAACTGAAATTAATTGAATGGAAAGGTTTGTTACTTTTTAAAAACATTGTCCTACAAACATAAAAAACCATAATAGTGTAGCATAACACAGCCTCAAAATCTTACCACTCCTACTAGGTTGTTATGGTTGCTATGAATAATGAAGATTTAAAAACTAACATTGTGATGTGGATCCTTATAGTTAGCATGTCCAAACCTGAATAATTTTTTAGAAAAACAATAAATCATATTATTTTTGTTTGAATAAACAGTTATATTATTAACACTTGACAAATAAATAAATGAATATACACAGCTCAAAACTTGGAATTGCACAGGTACATTGTTCAAACAATACAAGCACAATATCTCAATTGTCTTACCCAACAAAGGACAATTTAATGATTACCCAAGCCAAAGAGCTTAGAGAACCAATAGTTCATGAATGAGAACTATGCTCTCAAAGTTTTGGACATGGTACACATTTGAAGCTTTTGGTTTCACAATTTTTATCCACACTAAGACTTTATGCCCATTGCATCAATTTACACAAGCATAATCCTATTATTCTTCAATTAGAGTTTTAGGATCTAAATAATTAATCTTTATTCAACACTTCATTATAACACCACTTTAGTAGTTTGAGATCATATGCAAAAGTTCTTCACTCATTGATTAAGTCTTTTACATAAAACTTCTTCACTTTTCAATTATTCATTTGAATTCAATTAGCAACAAAACACTTTCAATGGCATATTGAAATTTTAATTTACACAATATAATTGTGTTGGCTGATTCCTTCTTTGCTTTGGTTGTGGCTTCATTATGATCAAAGCACTTAAAGCACTGCCACTCAAGTGTATAGGTGTTTTGAGGGGCATAACAAGTGTTAGTGGCTACATTAGGTTAATTTACTAGAGTGCATAAATGTGGCATTAGCCCAAATGTGAAAGGAGTAACTCACCTTTAATCATGAATTCCATATGGAGAGCAACAAAGGTATAACTATATTAGTATGACATTATAGGATTGGTGTGGTGGCATTACACTTATATAATGTGATGGAAGGCTAAAAACAATAATCCCAGTTTAAAAGGATTGTCCACATGGTAGTGAGGAGTGAACTTCACAATAGTAATAGCATTACTATCACTAGAGATTGTATACTCCTCTCAAGTTTATTGCACAGTGAGATTCAAAATTATACCTCGTTAGAGGAAGGGCCTTTTATATCTCTGGGAAATTATAAATGCTTTACAGATGAATATTAAGCAAGAGCAGTGTACCTCTATTGATTTCATGATTAACTCAAGTCCCTTACATCAATATAAAGATGGCAAACTCACATAAGAAAGATACAAATTAAAGATGATAGATAAAGCATAAACTTCACAACCAATAAAGATATTAAAACATGCATTTGTGAACATAATTTTGAATGGCATGAAATTCTCCATGCTTACCACCCATCAACTCCAACTTAAGGGAGCATTGCACTACCTCCATTCCCCTCCATGCACATTACTCATAGTTTTTTTTAGGAAAAAACAAAAAAAACAAACATTCCTATCTTACCATCTGTGTAATGTTAATCTTCTTGGCAAATGCTTCAATCTGTTTGCCATACTCTTGAGCTTTCTCCATTGAAATGCTGCCATGGTGTAAGAAAAGAAAAGAAAACCAAATTGTTAGCAATGTATGAATCTAGAGCTACAATCCACCTGGGAAAATTTTGCTAAGCTTTGTCTCTGGTAAGAATGGTGAGGAGCTCTCTAGCTGTCAGCACATATTACAATCCCTCATCATTATCGATCGAATCGGGATCCACTCAAAACAATGACAACCGGAGGACTCCTCGCAAAGGTGTAAAACAAAAGAGGAGTAGATTAAAAACCACAAATCAGCACCGCCTTTAGAGTTCATTTCGCACTGTGGGTTTAGGGCTATGGCGGTGGCAGCCGCGGCGCAGTGGTGGGCGGAAATCCGAAGAAAAGGGCCGGAATCGTATGCGTCCGGTATGACTTTCGAGCTTCCTGAGGCAGGTGTGAGGTCGATTGCTTTTAGTAACGAGGTCCTGTTTGTGAGGGAAGCTTTTGATGGGCTCTACAAGGAGATTCTAACTGTCCTCGAGTCACGCAAGTTCGGTCTGTGTCATGTGAATGGGAACTCTGGCGTGGGCAAGTCTGCGTTCCTGTGGTATTTCATCATCCGGACTGGCATTGATAGGCCAGAGTCGGTCATTCTCTACGAGACCGACACTCGCCTGTGGGAGTTTCGCCGTGGCGCTCTTCGGCTGGTGGCCAAAACGGAGTATTCCTTCGACGAGATCGAGTCTTCTGAAGTTACCTTCCATCTGATCGACCAAAAAATTTCTCCCGGCCGACCCATTGGAAACCGAGCTGTTGTTGCTGCCTCGCCAGACGACGATAACACCAAAAGCATCAGGAAAGTCCGTCGGACTTACACGCGCTATCTGCCTCCCTGGGACAAGACAGAGTTCGATTTGCTTGTCAAGCTGTGGAAGTCGCAGGCGGACAAGTTACCCGGGCCAGAAGCGGACGAGGTAGATGAAAAGGTAAAGGCTGCCAACTTGGCCTTCTCTTGGTTCGGGGGCATCCCACGATTTTTGTGGGATCGTGAGGACGGAACACTCACAGAGGAAGACTTTCGTTCGGACGTGATGAAGTGCCTTGCAAACACCAAGCTTAAGAACGTGAGTGTCATCCTGCAAAACTCAGCGGGTGCTCAGAACGTTTCGTGGAGGCTCTTTCACTTCAACGTGACGCCCGGAACCCGCTTCAGACGTTTCCGCTACACGTTTTGCTCGGAGAAGGTGGCAAGTCTTTATGCTGAGTATCTGTGTACAACCAACGTGGATAAGATCCGCAGCTTTCTGGAGGCTTCTCAGTCATTCAGCGAGTACTCAGCGCTGCGAGGTTTCGTTTTCGAGCAGTACGTGGTCAGCCAGGCGTTGGAACACGACATTATGGTGATGCCGATGGTAAGGCTATTTTTCACTCTTGGAAGCGTTACTTAGTGGCTCTGCAGGTTGACACTGCTTATTGCCAGCATTGTTCCCGCTCGGATGATCGAGGCAAGAATAAGAAGGTCCCCTGGATTCAGTGCGGGACCTGTCTTAAGTGGTACCATACCAAATGCGTCGGCATCAAATTCAAGTTTGATTTTAACTACAAGTGTCGGAACTGCCAAGGTGAGCCAAATGCTCAGGTTGTTTCCGGCCTTTTGCTACGATACTATGAAGGTGATCTGGAAGACGCTTTACTCGCAGCGGGTTGGTGTTTTTTGTAATGCTTTTATCTTTCCTCTTCTCCGTTTAGCCGCTTTTCTCTTGTGCAGGTGAAGAGGCAATCAAGTATCTGTGGAGGCCTCTCAAAAAGAACAATGCTGTCTTTGATTTTGTATTGTTACCACGCACGTTGGGACAGGCTACCGTCGCTCGTACTAATCACAGACCGGTTCTTGAGGCTACGATCAAGGCACAGCAGGCTCTCAAAGCCTGGAGAGACGAGTTCTATCAGGATAACAACAACGATGACACTCTACTGGCTTTTTTCGTACCACCGGATTCTTACTCCAATTTCAAGTTCCAGCCATACCGTTCATCTGGAAAGGTTGCTCAGAAAGCTGTCAAAGGTGAGCGTTTCATATGAACACTAAGTATGTATGTCATCTTTCTTTACCAGGGATCGTACAGTGTAAGGTCGCCGTTCCAGTATCTGGTAGTCCTTATGTAGCGAAGGTTGCACCCAACGACATGGATGCTGTTTCTCTAGATCCGAACTTGCCGGAGACTTGGGAGGAGGCTCTGGGCTGCATAGAATGCTCGGAGGATATTGTCGAACAACCGGAGAAGTCTCTCGAGCAGGAAAAAGTCAGATATTGCAGGCAGAACTTGGCTTTTGATGGAGATGAGTTGGATGCTCTGGAAGCGATCTGCAACCTTGCAGATGGTAGGCAGAAGCGCAAGCGTTTGCAGGCATTGTGCAAGATGTACAAGATTGCGGCCAATACCACCAACCAAGAGATGCTGGCTTGTCTCGAAGCAGAGCGTGAAAGACTAGATGATATGGAAGTGGATTAATAAATTAGTTTGCTTTTTCATTTTTCATACTTTTTTGGTTTGGTTTTTAAAAGTTATGTTCAGAATGAACAAAGGAAAGGGCTTAGGATTCTTGGAGGTGCTCCTATAGGCACGCCGAGGTGGTGGCTCCATGTACGCCACGAGGTTTCTCATGCGTCGGCATTTCACAAGAGCTGTGAGCAGCTCTATGTGAGGAAGGTATTGAACCGGAACACCGCGCCATTTGAACGGCAATTCCGGGGTCGTTTTTGTGGTATTTCCTCGTGCGAGTTGGGATTCAGAATCATCGTCTACGAAACCGTGTGTCTACGTTCATCTGATCGACCAGAACGTCAACACTTCGCGATTCATCGGGCTTCTGGTCGCCGCCTCTCCTGACATTAACAACACCAAACAAAAGTGACGCGCTACATGCCTGTGTGGACAAGGAAGAGTTTTTCGCCCTCGTTGCCTCGTGGAACTAACGGACCAAGCACTTGCCAAAGAGAGAGGCAGAGCTAATGCTGCCGAGAGGGCATACTCGTGGTTCGGGGGAATTCCCCGCTTCCTCTGGGCCTGGGACGCGGAAAAGCTTACTGGACAAGACTTTCGGGCGGAAGTACATCGATGTTTGGTCGATACCAAACTAGAGAACGTCCGTGCCGTGTTGCAAGATAAGGCAAACGCCAAGAACGTCTTTTGGTGTCTTTTCCATTTCATTTAGCAGGGAGATTCGACAAACACCATTATTCATTTTGTTCTGATAAGGTGGCGAACGCTTATGCTCAGTACCTACTTATGGAGTATCAGGACCAGCTTAGAGCCTTCATCCAAGCTTCGGAGCCCGTTCCAGAGTATGCTACCTTGCGAGGCTCTGTTTTCGAGCAATATGTCATTGTGCTTGCAGTCGCTCATGGGCATACCACTGGTAAGCACCTTGCGTTTGGATTGACATTTTGCAATCCAGATGGACGATGTCTATCTGGATTGCAAAATGATGCTTGTCAAAACAAAGACTGAGGAAGGAAGTTCAGAGTGGATTGGATAAAATGCAACGTCTGTGAGCATTGGTACCATTTAAAGTGCGCAAAGGTGAAGAGACTACCTTCAATTTACAAGTGCAAGGGTGATTGTGTACTCGCGTTCACATATCTGACGGTGTTGCTATTATGAAGGGGATCTTGAGAACGCCTTGATTGCCGCAGGTAAGCTTAGTGTACTGTTATAGCAGTTAAGTTTTAACAAAACTCTGTGCTGCAGGTCCTGATGCCAAAAAGTACATGTTTAAGCCCTGATGAAGAACAATGCGGTGTTCGCAAGTTGGGTCAGATCACGGTTGCGTTGAGACACCCGTCCTCCATCCAAGCTCTTGTGAATGCTGTCAAGGTCCTCAAGACCTGGGCGCAGCTCTTCAATCACCTGGATAAAGATAAGGGATGTGCTCTTGCTCCCTCCAAGCAACCATATCGACAGTCTAGGAAGATCTCCACGCGAGCTGTGAAAGGTACAAGGCTGCGAGGTTCTAGATCTTGTTTGACATGCGTTCTTTTCAGGTAGGTGGCAGTGCCTGTAAATGAATCACCTTATGTCGAGCGTGATTTGAAGCCTGACATGGAAGAGGTCTCACTGGATCTCGGTGCAAGCCTCGGTTCATGGGAGGCGTACTCGTGGAACCATGGAATGAATCTGAGTTTGTGTCACTTGACAAGGAACGGGACCGTCTTAAGCCTGAATGCTCCTAGATTTAGGGTTCAGAGAAATAAGGATTTAGGGTTCAATGAATTTACAAGATATAGGGTTCTTGGGAGGCGAGGTTATTTCCCTGTACCCAATGGTGGAGATCGAGAAGGCGCCGACGATGGCGATGCCGGTGGATGCGAGCGAGCGCGAGGAGGGGGAAATCGTGGTGTCTCCATCGCCAAGGAGAAGCATCCGCTGGAGCACTCGTGGACGTTTTGGTTCGATAACCCTAGCGGTAAGAACAAGCAGCAGCAGTGGGGAAGCTCATTGCGGGCGGTCTACACTGTGAGCACGGTCGAAGATTTCTGGTGGTAAGCTCCCTCGGCCGATCCATGCCCCTTTCTAGTCATTTCATTCGATTCGAAGGATCTAAGATACAAATGCGCCTCTATTTCTTTGCAGCCTCTACAATAATCTCGTGCAGCCGGGGCGATTGATCAGTGGGGCGGACTTCCACTGCTTCAAGGAGGGAATCAAGCCCGAGTGGGAAGATCCGAGGTGTGCGAATGGGGGGAAATGGACTGCGGCTCCACCGCGAGGCAGCAAGCAAGCGCTGGATCAGTTCTGGCTAAACACTGTGAGTATAGGAGAGATTTCTCGCCTTTCATCGTGGCTTTTCTCTTGACGCTCTTGCTCTTCCAGCTGCTGGCTTTGATCGGTGAGCAATTCGATGAGGGCGATGAGATCTGTGGCGTTGTGGTGAGCGTGAGGCCGAGGAGATAAGCTCTCCTTGTGGACCAAGACGGCCAACAACGAAGCCGCCCAGGTAAAAGATCTCTCCTTCTTCCTTCTCTCCGCTGCGATAGTGTTCTAGCCTCCAGGTTTTCTTCTTGTTCTCTAGCAAGCTTCACCAAATTTCGAATTTTCCTTTAGCATGGTTCTTTGGCGATCATTTTTTTCTACGAGTCCTGCCTTGTCCTTGCTCGACCTCTGAAAAGTTTCCTTGTTTTGGGCGAAGCTTTACCGGGTTTCAATTTTTCCTTAGCAAGCTTCGAGTGGTTCTTTCGCAAAGCTCTAGCAAGTTTCTTCTTGTTCTTAGCTTTACCACTTTTTTCCTTGAGCAAGCTTTGAAAGGTTCTTTGCCTTGTCTCTAAAAGTTTTCCTGTTTTGGGTGATTCCAGATGAGCATTGGAAGGCAATGGAAGGAATTTCTCGAGTATCAGGACAAGATCAACTTCATGTTTCACGTAAGAATCCCTTTATTCTCTTTCTTTCCACTCGCTACACTTTTTCTTCCTACTTTTTCCAGGGCGTGGTGATTCGAAGGCGAGAAATCGCTACTCTGTATGATACCTTCTAAGCTCAATTTTGCTGGATCGCATTTTAAAAGGGTGGATGTTTCATGGCTTTTTGTAACCGGTGTTACAAAATAAAGCTATAAGGGGAAAAAGAAAATTCTAGTGGTTTAGGGTTTATATTTATTTCGCTCATGGCGTCGAGCCAGGGATGGCGCCTGTCGCTGGCGGCCAGGCGCGCGAGGAAGAGGACGCGATGCTTGGATCAAGATTGCTGCCACCACGACAATCTCCGCTGCGAGCACTGGCGCGAGCTCAAGAGCTACGCCGCGGAGCTCTGTTCTTGCGATTCCTCCCAGGTAATCCCTTGCGGCACGCGCAGCGCTCCTGGATTTCCAGTCCTTGAGCTTCCTCACTGATGTGAAATGCTGGCAGTCCCTTTGTGTCGCAGGGCGATCGCGTCCAGACCCTCAAATCCCTGGCGGCGCTGCTCCTCTGCCTCGCCGCCGCCGATGATCCTGCCAATGCAGATGGAGATTACGCGCTATCGGTGCCAGTGGGCGACGCAATGGTGATCATCGCTCACGATGACGTGGTCCGGCTCTACAAAGTCTTGTTCCAGGAGCTCGCGAAGATTGGCAGCTATTTGCTCACGAACTTCTGGTATGTCCCCGAGATGGTTCCTTGTTCCAGTGACGCGGCGCTCCACTTCGAGGAGCTTGCTCAATCGCTGTGCTGCTGCATCCGGATCATTCCCATCGTGGATATGTTCAACACCAGCATGAGCCACACTGCCGCATCCACTGTCCACGAGATGCTCCACCATCTTTGCTCGCCGTCGAAGTTCTTCCCTCTTGGCTCGCCTTACACCGTGAAAGAACACCAGGACGTCGTCTTGAGGAGCGCCCTGCTAGAAGTAAGTAAAAATCTCTCCTTTTTTTTACTGACCTCTACGCGTAGGTGTTCTTGGATGAGATCTTACTCCACCGGGCTCTAACATTCCCAGAAGGCGAAGAATTCTCTTACCGTGCGTCGATCGAAGCTGCATTCGCGCATATGTTCCACTTCCAGTTTTTGCAAGGCCGGCCATTCCACCAATCCAAGCTCAGCCTTCCTGCGGGTGTTCTTCTACTCGACATGTCCACTACCAACCGAGTTCCTAGCGACTTGCTGACGCACATCATATCGCTCGTCACCGGAGCATTGGTCCCGGGTGCGAGTTGCGATGATGAGAGCTTTCCTGCGATCCAGGCGCAGAATTATATTCCACACTTTCAGCTGGACGACGAGCTGCCGCATGGAGTAGCTATTGGATTGGCGTCTTCGGTGGTAGAAACAGCAATGGGGTTACTGTCGAAGTACTACTCAGCGTCCGTTACGATTGCAGCACGGGACAAAAATGGTTTTGAGTGGGGGACACAGGCACTAACTTATGCTGCGGAATATGACTGTGACCAAGGCGAGTATTCGTCTACGTTGGCAGCTCTACTCCGGGCGATGGCGTGTGCAATAAATCGGCTTGTTAGTGAGGTCTGCACTATCAAGTGCCAGGACAGAGATGGGGAGTTGACTGGTGTCCGGGACCTTGCCATTCAAAGAACTTTCGAGACGGTTGCGACTGCCATCAGCCTGAATATGCCTTCCACAAAGTTCATGCAAGCTATCGGGTGTTTCAATCAAAGCATGGTCGAGGCGCTAACATCAGAAAACGCAAGAGGAACCATAGGATGGACGCTTGTTATATTTGCTCACATACTTTCCTACGAGTCACTGAGGGGGCTGGATGAAGCTGTGGCCGTGGAATACGTTCGCGTTTTGGACTCTCTCCTGGCCTTATTACTACTCGAGAGTAGACCCGATAACGACGTCATGGACGATAAGATAGCCGCTTCTACAAACTTTTTCCTGCGTGGGATGATTAAGTCGCTTCATCAAACAGCCTGGGACATGTGTTCGCGTAAGGTAACTTGTGTGATTCCAACAGTTCAGCGTCTCTTAACGTTTCGTTTCTGTTGGCATGCAGAAGTCCGCGACGAAGCTCTTGTCTTTTTTTTATCAAAAGTCACTCCGATTGGCAGGAAGGATTTTCCAACAATTGAAGATGTCGATTGGCTGTCGCCTGGCATCAGCTTCGACACTGGGAAGAATTTGCCAACAATTGAAACCGTGACACCTGACATGAGCGTACATGAAACAGTCCAAGAGGTCGTTCAAGAGGTCGTCCAAGAGGTCGTGCAAGAGGTCATCGTGGAAGAAGCATCAGATTCGACGACTCCTTTGAAACCCAGGCCATCGACACTGATCATAGCCAAGCGGTTCAAGATAAAGAAGCTCCGTGTGGAACAACTTACGGATACACCAGTGGAGAGGACAAGTACACCAGAGACACCTGTGGAGGGGTAAGTCTTTATGTTTGTATGTCTTTTGAGCTTACGGATTCTTTGTTTTCATCACGTTCAGCAAAAAGAAGAAAAGGAGAAGACGTGGCGCAGGAACTTGGAGTGCAGAAGTGTGCATTAGTAAGAGAACGCGTAGCGCCACCAAAAGCAAGAGCACAGCGGGAACAGCCAGCAATAGCAGCAGCAACAACAACAAGAACCGCCAGATTGAGAATTCTTTCGTCGCAGAGATGCTCACCAGGGAGACGTACGAGGAGTCTTTCGCCGACTTGAACGATTTCATCGTCTGTAAGAAGGGTCGCAACTACACAAGGTTCCTCAACGCCAGGATCAAATACAGGCGCAAGAGCCACACTCGAATGATTTGGAAGCGGCGGGACAAAAGGCAAAGCCTGATGAAGCTGCTCGAGCTGTGCGGTGAAAGGGCGTGAACATTAAACAGGTTTTTTCCTTTTCCTCTCAACTCAAAACAAGTCTTTTCGATCTTTCTTTTCAGCCCCAGATGTACACTCTTTTCCCAAAGCTAGCTGGTACCTGTAAACTGCTTAACTCTATCGACAACGCCGCGAACAGCACTCTTGGTTGCATCCATCCAACTTCCTCCGCCTTCACTGGTGTTCTTTCCTGTCCTGGGAGTGGCCGTACCCTTGTCAACCTCGGTATCCTCCATTACAAAGGTGTCGGCCCGCATCTCCTCGCCTATAGGATCACTAGCGGCTGTCTCTGAAGTCTTGGGCGCCCCTGTTACAGCATTGTCACCGTCTCGATCGCCCGCAAAGTTCCTGAAGCTCCACCTCCTGGAAGCTCGCAAAGAAGGAAAGCTAGCCTTTCCCATCATCGCCAAGCCTTCGTCCCCTGTGTCTGAGACTACCAGGTGAATAAATTTGACCAATCCTTGTTTTCTTTGGCACTGTAGCCCGGCTTTCGGTTCATCCCGCATTGCCAGTTCTGCTTGCAGTTCAGCTCTCGTGATTGCTTCCACAGTGTACTTTACACTACATCCATCATCTAAACCCTAAACCCTAAACCGGTTGGTCAAAGAGGAAACGGAGTGTGAACGAAAATTCGTACACCTCTGATATATTAGTGCCGGATTCGAGAGGATCAGTATCCGCACTCTCATGAGGGAATGCTTGGAAATGATTGGCCTAGATGCGGAACTCCTGGATCCCATCGTATTTGGCTGGAGGTATGAACCCCAGATCAAACACGACTTTTATAAACCCAAAGAGGTTTTCTGTAACTGGGACACTCATGCACCACTGGTTTGCGAATGCAGACGATGGCCATGGGTAACTTACCTCGACGAGACTGGACATGTGCGTACATTGGATCCAAAGATCCTTGGCTCACGCATACTCACGACTGTCATCGAGAAAGGTCTCAATCACATCACCCCAAAACCACTCCAAACAGCAAAAATCATTGCTGAAGTCTGTGGAGCCTGGGATCGGATTGCCAGTATGATCCCCGATGTCTAACGACGAAGCTGCTGTTAAACAGCATATCAACTACCGAGTCCGAATGGCAGTACAAAATTGCCAGACCACCCCGATGGTAGATGTGATGACCACCCCTGAGGCAAAGCGGCAATTGGAGTGGGTACATAAAGACTTGTACATCAGTGGCGCAGACAAAGCGGCCAACACACCCACCTTCTTTTGCAAAACGTTAGCCCGGGAGCAAGCGCTTGCACGGATGAATAGTGACGACTTTCCACTAGTAGTCTCGGACAATAATGTCCCTGAGACGCCTGAGCAAGTTGTAAAACAACTGCTCGGTGAACCGCCCTTACAGGAATTCCCGCCGCAGAAACCAGATCTCCCTTACCTTATGGGAATCTATAAAGTGCACAAGAATAAAATGCGCTGGTTAACGAATGCGGATGGATGTGTCTTCTCTGAAATCACAATTTGCCTCACAGCTATCCTGAAAGGAATACAGGAGGCGCTACAAAACGTAGCTGATGATTTCTACGCATGGGCAAAATTCTTTGGAGGAAAAACGAACACGTGTTGGATCCTTGGATCCACACAGGAGTTCGCGATTAATCTTCCCGACAAGATCACCACGATCTATACGGGAGATATCACAAAGTGCTACGAGGCCATCCCCCTCGAGGGAGATCAAGGCCTCACGACGGCCATGACAAACCTCGTCAATTTGGCTTTCGCGCACCAAAACCACCTCCATAAGGACCTTTTTCTGATTCAAAAGAAGAACGGCGAGCTTGAGGCCGAATGGAAACCTCTACGCCACTCATCAGTGAAGGCCACCAGAATGGATCCAACAAAAGTCATCGAGCTAAATCACTTCATTATCCGGAACACATACGTCTGGCTGGGTGACAGAGTATGGAGCCAAGTCCGAGGGATTCCTATGGGCTTCTCGTGCTCGCCTCTGTGGTGTAACCTGTACCTATTCTATTTCGAGTATAACTTTATCACTCGACTCGCTCGTTTAGGCCGGTATGATCTGCTGCGCTTATTCGAACATACTTTCCGGTACATGGACGATCTGGTGTCAATGAATAACCCCATGATCCTCCGATTCCTTGACCCTGATCAAGTCGAATCCGAAGGAAATCCGTTCTGGATATATCCATTACGATTCCTGGCCATGCAGAACGAGATGGATAATCCATTCGTGAACACGGACGGCTCGCTCGTGAATCTGTCCGCTCACTTCTTGAGCCTTCAGATTCAGATCATACGAGTTGATGGTACTTTCTTAACCACAAAATATGACAAGCGCCGATCACTTCCATTCAAAGTCTCGCTGTACATTCAGCGAGATTCAAACCGGCCAGTCGCAAACTCATCCAAGGTGATCCTGGGGCAAGTCTTTGCGCTTTTTTATCTGATTAATACCGCCGGTGGTATCGTCCTTGAGATTGATAATCTTGTTGAATGCTTCGTGGAAAAAGGATTCCATCGCTATGCATTGAGACGACTCATCCTCAGTGGTCTGGATCGTATCATTCTCACCAGCCCCCTGACACCGGTACAAGCAGTCTTGGAAATTCTCTTTGACATCTGGAGAGAACTGGCCAATAGGCCACCACAGCTCGACGACTCAGCAAACTCAAGCTGAGCACCAGGAACTCTGTCCTCTAGACAGGACTATCCATCACTTTAGCATCATATCGAAACATAATAGATTCGATATTTATGCCGTTTTGGACTGTGAACAACAAAAGAATTAGTTCCCCCAAACTTACCATGCAGTCCTGGGTCACGCGCTGAACTAAAAAATGCAAGTGCACCTTTGACTACAACTGTGTTTTGATTGGTAAAATTTAAAAAAAACAACACAAGTTGCTGCTCTCTCACTCTGAGACAGATCCCACGCCTTAATCACAGCAAGGTCTTCCTTAAAAACAATTTTTTAAAGGAAACCTTACTTACAGAAAACTCTGTTTTCCCATGAATAAACTAATGGGATACATGAGTAGATGTGGCATGGTAAAAAACAAAACTTTGGATTCCTCACAGAATCTCGCGCGAAGAAACATGCCACACGGATAGGCAAACCTAATTACAAGCTATAGCTATTCGACTTCATGGCTGCGGGCACTGGATTTTCTCACACCGAAAGGTATGAAGCGACAGGAAAAACCCTAACGTTAGGGTTTCTCGCTTGCATCTGCCGCCGCCGCATTCTCCAGGAGCGCATCCACAAGCAGAGCAAGCTTGGGCTGCTGCAAGGCTGTGCGCTAGCACAACCACGCACACTTCTCGCCCACTCCAGAATCAACAGCCGCTTCGTTGCGCACCGCAAGAATGAGCAGTGCCAACGAAGTGCTTGTTTGGGGATAGCATAAAACAAGCTTACACCCACCACTAAGGTCACGAGGAATCTCACTACCACATTCCTGGCCACGCAAAAACGGGTACAAACGATTCATTTTGCTGCGTTTTTTTACCCTTGGCCTGTAGGAATCTCTCTCGGCCAGAGCGCTGGAACTAAACGCCACAGCGACACAAGGGGTTCTCACTGACTCTGCCCAGGTAGTGCTTGTACTCTCGACTGTTCCAGCTTCTAATCATCCACTTAGAAAAAAGACGGGATGACAGCGACTGGTCCAGACGGCGAGATCCATGAGTCAACGGATAGCGATCAGGTTGAGCATGTTCCTTAGCTCTAATCTTTGGAAGTCACTTCTGATGTGCGGCCCGGGCATGTACCTGAGTACATTGGCTCGCGAGCATCAGTCGTGCATTTCTCAGTTCAGTTTTGAAACCTAGCTTCGTACTTTCACAAAATGAGAGATAGAGCTAGCGGAGATTGCATTACTAATCCTCGTCTTCCATGATACAGGTACCCCCCGGACACCCAAACCGTAGGAGGTGACATAGGAATTGCTTAGGGAAATCGTTTTGGTCGTGGTCGGTACCGGGTTACCGGGCGGATGATCCTACGCCTCGGACGAATGTACCGAAAACGGCCTAGTCGATCTGCTTAACCAAAAATGGCCCACTTGGAGCTCGCATTCACGGCCGGGGCTCAACAGAGCAACCCCGGCTGCTTTACCTATTTAAAGTTTGAGAATAGGTCAAGGGTGTTTCACCCCCGATGCCTCTAATCATTCGCTTTACCCGATAAAACTCAGCAAGAGCTCCAGCTATCCTGAGGGAAACTTCGGAGGGTACCAGCTACTAGATGGTTCGATTAGTCTTTCGCCCCTATACCCAAGTCTGACGAACGATTTGCACGTCAGTATCGCTACGAGCCTCCACCAGAGTTTCCTCCAGCCTCGACCTGCTCAGGCATAGTTCACCATCTTTCGGGTCCCAGCAGGTATGCTAACACTCAAACCCTTCTCAAAAGATCAAGGTTGGTCCGTGGTGCACCCCCGAAGGGGATCCCACGAATTAGTTTCCTTTCGCCTGTACGGGTTTAGCACCCACAGACTCGCATACATGTTAGACTCCTTGGTCCGTGTTTCAAGACGGGTCGGATGGAACGCCCAAGTTCCAGCATCTGGCAGGTGTAAGCGACTAAATTTTCCATTCTACTTTAGTCACTTAACCACACCTTCGACCACTTGGAGGAGTCTCATTCACAACCTCCATAAGTCCAATTCAGGACTTGGGACTTGCTAGCCCCGAGAATGGCATCCATGCCACTCAACATTTGCACTTGGTCCAAGTGCTCCACGTGTCCGATCCCATGACCGACACTCAAAGGTACCACCGACATGGCAGCTTGTTATGCTAAGGCCATGCCCAATCACCTTTGCCACACTAGTAGTCCAATACCACTTGCATCACAGTCTTGGCTCTCCAAGACTAGGCAAACCATCCGTGAGTGGTCATCTCAAATCCACTCCTTAGCATCCTTAGGATGCCCACCGACAAGGGGAATAGCCTTCCCCAATATCCCTCTGTCGGTCCCCACTAAGTCCCTTTCTGCCCTTGGCCGTGTTTGCCAACACTGCCACTGGATCGAGGCCCACAGGCCCGACCACTAAGTCTGACAGTCCTCTGGGACTTCTTCACCACACGACTGTGTCCTTGATCACTACCCTAGAGGACTGCTCCTCTTCCTTTCCACAATCTGGGCCTTTGGGACAACATTTCGGAACACCGTGGCCTTACGCGAGCCACCTGGGTACTCTCCCCGCCTTCCACCCTTGGGTGCTCTAGCCATGGGCTTAGAGCGAGGTTCCGTTGAGCCACGCCTGGTATCCAAGTAGGTAGTGCCACCCACACTTGGACTGGGAGCATCGGCCAGTCGATCTCCCGGGGGAACTAGAGCCGGCTCTTGAACACTTCACCAAGCTACCTAGCTTGTCGGTCCGTGTTCACTCTAGTCTTGGACTTCCCAGTGGTCAGCTCATCACCCAATACTGGGTCTGGCCTGCCTGGGCCAAACTACCCTTTCCTGGCCAAACTGGCTCCACTGGGCTCCAAGCCCCACACTCTCCCTACTATACTTTTGGAACCCCCCGCAGCCCCCCCCCCCCCCCCCCCCCCTGGGGGACGATCGCTTTGGGCTTTCACCCAACTGCCTGTATTAGTATTCGGACTCAGACTCGGACTCGGACTCGGTCTCGGTCCCGGATTCGGACGCGGACTCGGTCTCGGTCTCGGTCTCGGTCTCGGTCTCGGTCCCGGTCTCGGTTCCATCTCGGACTCCACCTCGGGTCTATCTCGGACTCCACCTCGGGTCCATCTCGGACTCCATCTCGGACTCCATCTCGGGTCCATCTCGGACTCCATCTCGGACTCCATCTCGGACTCCATCTCGGACTCCATCTCGGGTCCATCTCGGACTCCATCTCGGGTCCATCTCGGACTCCATCGCAGTCCATCTCAGACTCCATCTCGGACTCCATATCAGACTCCATCTCGGACTCCATATCGGACTCCATCTCGGACTCCATATCGGACTCCATTTCAGACTCCATATCGGACTCCATATCGGACTCCATTTCGGACTCCATTTCGGGTCCATCTCGGACTCCATCTCGGACTCCATATCGGACTTCACTTCGGGTCCATCTCGGACTCCATCTCAGACTCCATCTCAGACTCCATATCGGACTCCACTTCGGGTCCATCTCGGGTCCGCCTCAGACTCCATCTCGGACACTTCCACGTGTCATGTTTTGGTCCTTTCGGGTCCCTTTTTAGAGCCTCGCTTATGGCTCGCTTCGTGCTCATTCCTCAAGCACCTTGTTGGGAGTTCCACTCCCGCTCTCGACCTTTCAAGGTGGAGCTTTTAGTCCAAACGTGTTACGCTCATTTGGCTTTCGCTTCGGCCACTACCACGTGGCGCCCTTCCGGCTCCACTTTGGGGCCTAGGGATTTTGTGTCTCACAGCAGGGCACTGGAACACCCCGCCATTTTCAGAGGCAGCAGCGGCATTGGCAGGGAGCCAGAGGCTCACAAGCCGTTATCCCGCCGCGTCCTCCCATGCTGGACAGCCCCTTGCATTGCTTGGCAGACCAGCTCTCGCCGTTCCACACACAACCAAGGGGCGCACAAGGCATCCATTCGCTTCCCTCCCAGCAATTTCAAGCACTTTTTAACTCTCTTTTCAAAGTCCTTTTCATCTTTCCCTCGCAGTACTTGTGCGCTATTGGTCTCTCACCAGTATTTAGCCTTGGATGGAATTTACCACCCACTTAAGGCTGCATTCCCAAACAGCCCGACTCGCCGAAAGAGCCTCGTGATGCAGCAGGGTCCGGGCTAGACGGGGCTCTCACCCTCTCTGGCGTCCCGTTCCAAGGGACTTAAACCCGGTCCGCTGCAGAGGACCCTTCTCCAGACTACAATTCGGGGTGCAGAGACACCCCGATTTCCAAGCTGGGCTCTTTCCGTTTCGCTCGCCGCTACTAGGGAAATCCTTGTTAGTTTCTTTTCCTCCGCTTAGTGATATGCTTAAACTCAGCGGGTTGTCTTGCCTGACCTGAGGTCATGCACATGAGCGATTCGCCACTAGGTGGGGTGCGTGCCATCGATGCCACACGGACAAGTCGGGGGCCACACCATCCACATGCAATCAAGCTGACCGGAACACAAGTCCACGGATGGCCACATTCGCCCCACGCTCACACTCACAGAGTGCGCATGAGGCAGCAAATGGTTGCGGACGCTCAGGCAGGCATGCCCTCGGGCAATAGATGCCTCGGTCAGCATCTTCTGCTGCTACACTCAAGGCAGTACACTCAAGGCATTGCTTTAAGACGCAAATGCAAATGAAGATGCTTTTGAATCACTTCAAGAGTGACTCGGACTTTGAGGAGTTTCCGGTTTCATAACTATACTTTGACAGAATCACGTCAAAACATGTATGTTCAAATTATATGCACAATTAAAAATCCAAACCATAACCATGAGAACAATAGAAAGAAATTCCTGTCCAAAGTTCTTGGTGAATGAAGGCTTAAAGCAAAAGTGCGCTCAACCCAAGTTTGAGTGGATGCAACCATCAAACATTTTGATATCAGGACCGTCCACATTCTAGAGGCGGTATTTGGATAACCAAATGCCTCTTTTCTTCAAAGTGGTGAGATATTAAAAGTTCCACATGACCCAGTGCAAGGGAAGTTCATGAGTTTATGAACTAGATGCTGAGGAAGTATTTTGGCATCTGCCCCAGTCCTAGGACTGCCACTTTTTAGCCAATGTATCAATTTTCTCACCCACAGTACTCATTATCTTAGTATCTCGTACCATAGCTACTTGAGGAACATAGCTTTATCTTGTCAGGAGATTCTAATCTTGCCTTTGTGCTCATAGCTGGAAACAACCAGGATAAGCATACATACTTACAGAGCGGTTTGGAGCTCGCTCCACAGGCCTAGCAACGACTTGTAATCTTCTTGAGCACCAGCAATGGAACCACTGTCCATGGCCGTGGAGCAAACCCGTCGCAGCCAGCAGTTTAGCATGCCACTGCTGCTAAAGCCTCGGAGCCGCGGAGCAATGAGCTCGCTAGCACCCCTTGCAGCGTCGACAACCGAGGCCGGGATCCCGGCGAGAAGAGCGACTTGGAGACCATAGCTTGCAGAACTGGCACCGGCTCTCAGCTTGTACAAGAACGCCAGTTGCCTGTCGCTAGAGCTGCTGTCAAACGAGCAGGCCATGTGTTGGAGGCTCACAGATGGATGCCCAGAGAATTCCTGTGTCAGCGGGTGGTAATGCGTCGCAAACACTAGCCTGCATCCCACTGCTTCCACCAGATGCCGGAAAACCTGCCGCGAAGTGAAGAACACGCTCTTATAAGCCGACAAGATGGAAGGAGAACTTCTTTCAACCTCACCGCATAAGCTATAGCGTAACCATCAAAAGTGGAGGTTCCCCGGCCAAGCTCGTCCAGTACCACCAACGAGTTGCTAGTTGCATTGCAGAGGATGGACCCAGCTTCTGCGCATTCGACCATGAATGTGCCTGGGCGAGATTTGGCATAAGCATATTTGTCCTGAATAAAAGAAAGTATTATGTAGCTTACTCTCGCCAGACATGATTCTATCACGAGCTCCAATACGAGTGAATATGGTGTCGACGAGGGATAGCGTGCACGATTCACTTGGAACATAGCAGCCAAGCTGTGCAAAGGAAAAAAAAGAAAAGAAAGAATAAAGCAAAAAAGTAAGGGAACTTCTTACTTGTGCCATGAGAGTAGCCACACACGTTGCTCTGAGCAATGTAGATTTCCCGCCCATGTTTGGTCCTGTGAGAAGTATCGCTCGAGGCTTACCAAGGCCCAGTGCTATGTCGTTTGGCACGAAAGTCCCACCCATGCCTGCTGCTGCAAATGGATGCCATAGGCCTTGCATTTCCAAAACAGCAACGCCTTGATCAGCAGCAACGAACGTCGGACGGCATGTCGGCCCTTCTGCTGCTCGTTTAGCGGCTGCGAAAGATATTAGCACGTCGATGTAGCTCAATGCATCAACGATGGCTGTCCAATGGCGCTGATGCTTGTTAAACTCGAGTATCATCCAGCTCAAAGTCTTTCTTTGCGTTTCCTCGTCCTCGTCCTGCGGCCAAACACGACGTGAGAGAAAGGGTCTAAATGAGAAAAGAGGACCTGGTCTGTGTTCAAAGACTGTTTCTCCATGTCGAGCTTTGGTTCCATGCTCCACAGACATTCGATGCTGCTCTTCACCTTTAATAGCTTACAAGCTCGACGTAGAAGACGTGCCTTCGCGGGCATCTGCCTAAGGCACTCGAGGACCTGGTAAGCACGCAGAAGTCCCGAAACAGCAAGGCACAATGTCTTCAACTGCAGCTCAGTCGAACAGGGTCAGCAAAAAGAAAACAAACATATTTGGAACTTTACCCTCCGCTGAAATGCCTGTTTTGCAAGAGGTAGTAACACTTCAGCGAAAGAACTATCAGAAAATCCCCGTAAGCGGGCACTGAGTCGCTCCAGATCTGGCACCTTCCGGAGTAATGCTCGCAACTCAGCAGCACATTCGGGATTGCACAGAAGCTCCTCGACTGAATCTAGACGATGATTTATAGCTTTGGTGTCTTGAAGTGGATGGCAAATCCAACGTCGAAGAAGACGTTTTGCGAAAGCAGTTGCGCAGCTGTCAAGGTATCCCATGAGGCTTCCTGCACAAAATCACGCTTAATATTTTCTCACGCCTCTCACACCCCTAACGTACCAGCCTTGCCTCCGTTGGCTGTGTTTGCAAGCAACTCTAAGTTGGCTATTGTCTGACCGTCAAGCCTCATAAAGCCCCAATATAGTTCATACGCACAGAGAACACCATTATATATCTCCGCGTCCATCTGCTCAACATAAGCAAAAGTGAATTCTTGGAATGTGCAAGTCGTAAGAACCTTGATCCTGTGTAAATGAGATACGAGAGCTCCCAATGCGGTCATAGCAGCGTCTTTATGATCAACAGTGTCGAGAACTCCTGGAAAGCCAGGCTGTTGCCCAGAGCACTTGACGCACTCTTGGAAATATCCACGAGAGCTAATCAGCTCTAAAACAGTGGCTGGCTCAGGGAAGTCAGCACCTGGTTGCAAAGGTGTAAGAACCAGTGGTAAAGACCCTGCACAACACTATTATGTTAACATCATCCATGATATAGTTTAGATTACAGACCAGGACGAATATAGCGTTGAAACACTTTTAAGGCACCTGGCGAGAGACCTCCTATTTCGTAAAGCACCTCTTGAGGTGCTATCTGCAGTTTACATCTGAGTGAACGAAAAAAAATATAGAAGTCCATGAAACCATACCTGCATGACGAGCGCATCCAAGGCAGAATACGCATCATTATCACAGAATGAGCCGACATAGCAAAGACCACCGGCAGCGTCAGCGAAAGCAAACCCATAAATTACAGCGCTTGGCCCAGAGTTTTCCTGGTTAGCAAATAGGCGCTCAAGCACACTGAGAAGTTTAAAATACACCAGTACCTCTTTCACTGCTAGCAAGTGAATGGCTTCCGGTTTCATTATCCCGTCCGTGAGTGTTGAAGGCGTGACTACCTGAACAAGCTTTCTCTCTACCATCTGCACAGGCTTAGATTGTCAAAAAAAAAGTCCAAAAACTGATGAAAACTTACGGCATTTGGACCTCTTTTAGCCTTGGCTTGCTCTGAAGTTTCTACTTGTTCCATTCGTCCGATTTTGTAGCTAGTAAACGAAAAAGTTAAGCAATAACTTTTGTGGTAGCTTACCCCCGAGCCACAAGCTTCTGAACAGCGTCTTCAATTCCACTCTCAGGCACTCCAACCTGTCAAAAGACGAGTCGCAAAATCTGAGAACGCGATGACCAAGTATGCATTTACCTGTCTACACTTTCCAACTCCACTGATTGTCATTTTCCAGTCGAGCTCTTTGTGCCCGATCTCAGCATCTAGTTCATAAAGCTCGTAAAACTTCCCCTGAAAAGAGTCATTTGTGTTAGCACGAGGTGATAAAAGAAACTCACGACGGTAATCTCACCACTTTGAAAAAAAGAACAATATCCATGTAGTGGCATTTGGTTGTCCAATACTGCCTCTGCGATGCGGACATTTTCTTGAGCACGTTCTCTGGAATGTGGACGGTCCTGACGTCGAACAAGGGATCACTGTGATTCCTTCCATTTCCATCGCGAATGTTTGATGGTTGCATCCACTCAAACTTGGCTTGAGCTTCTGCCCAAGCACCTTGCTTCGAGCCTTCGTCGTCACCAAGAGCTTCCAGCAATTTCTTGCGTTTGCTCTCATCAAAGGTTTCTCTCGAGAAATCGTCACGAACGCGCTTAGTACCGGGCACCAAAGGAACTTCCAATCTTTTATCGGAAGTAGGCACTGGCTTCCTGTGAAGAATGAAAGAAAAACTATCAACGCATCGGTGATAAAACAGAGATAAAACAAACCTCATCTTGTGTGTAATGCTTTCGATGAGCTTCTGCCTTTGATCCACCTACATTGATCGTCAGAAACCCTAACTCCTCCCACAATCGAAAGATTCGTCGTTCTGACCTGTGAATCGCCGAGCTCGATTGGATTGTCCAGCCTGGGCCGCCTGGGCCGCCCCTGCTTCCGGCTCGTATCCTTGTCATAGAACGCGAGCAGTGATCGCTGCCGTGACATCCTAAAACCCCAGCTAAGCCTAAATGGCGGGAATGTGACTATATTTTAGGGCTGTCAACGCAGATTGCCCAGCCTGCAGGGCTATGTTTTTTTTTTTAAGAGGCAGGATTGTCAGGGGGCATTTTTCCACGTAGACCGCCAACAATTTGGTCAAGATACACTTATTTTAATAATCACATTATTATTTAATTTTAGATCCGAGATTACACAAAAAGGATCTTAAACCAGGTCAACTTCGTCAGTATCTAAAAGAAAAATGTTGTCTAAGAGCTTGAATGCCTTCTGTGGACACACCCTTATCGGATAGGTAGCCGCCTCTTGATCTGCTAAAAGTGTTAAGAAAACCAATAGAGTATGGAAGGTGTGTACCTCTTAAGCCTGGGCCCGACGAGCTCAGCTCTTTGATGTTCTTCAAGGGCCACGATGCGTGCCATGTATGAGACATGGTCCACAAAGCTATCAGAACTCATTCCATGCCTCACCTTCTCTGGACTTGCAAGGAAAAGCTGTTCTTGGAGATACTTTTGCGTCTGTAGCCTGCAGAGAACAATCACGATTTGCTTGAGGAAACTTAAGTCTTAGCACTTACTTGTTGAAGTTTTCCTCGTGCCAAGGAAGAGACCGCCTGCCATCACAAGCAGCATCACTTTGACAAGCTAACTGCATTGCTTCGTCGCACTCCTGTAAGAGATGGTAAAGGTTGCATCGTGTCAGCTGTTGAGATATTTCACTACACGGGGATTCCTCCATCTGAAAGAAAGCAAACAAGAAAATCAAGCAAAGCTATGCAAGGTGCACCAGAACTTACTCGAGACAACATATCGCACGAAGAAAAAGCCTCCGCAGCAGCTGCCAAGGCATCATTGACGCTGAGCATCGTCTGGACGGATTTAGAGTTGGAGCGCAAGAGTGAACTTTGTCCCTTCCTCATATCTAGCCACTGAGCTCGAACTGGATGCACTGGCTCGTTTGACGACGACGGGAACTCTTCAGTCACGCTTTCTTCGGTCGCACAAGTGGTACAATATATCAATCCTTCTGCTTCTTCTGCCAGATCTTTAATAAAGCCGGTGTTATTCCGCGCTTCCTTCCATTCCAGTCTTTTCGTAGTCTTTCGTGGTCTTTTCCGCCTCCCAGCACCACAAGTCTTAATCATGGCAGCTGGTCCACAGTGTTTTCCTTCCGCTTCCACCACCATGGTATCAAGTAATTCAGCCTCCACTTTCTTAGCCAGCCTTTTCGAGCTTTTTGACCTGCGAGCAGCCCGTAGAGACTCATCTTCTTCAGCTGCCTTTGCAGCATGCAAGGTGGCAATTTTTTCAGCTTTCTGAACTGCTTCTGATAATTTCCCGGCTACTAAGTATGACTGAGAGCAAGGGAAGCTCAGAGGAACCAACTCCGGCAATAAGCAGTACTCGGCGTCTGAATCCTCCCACCAAGCAGCTCGTGGAAGCAATATTCTTCTTTCATGACTGTTTCGCTTCATGGTTGAGGACTGGTCCGCTTCTAGCGCTGCGCTCGGCGGTAGAGCACCCTGTCCCCAAAACTGAAGCAGCATCATTAGCTTTCGCAAGTCCTGGTGACAAGATCCTACAATGCGTTTCATGATCCAAGGCTCTCCAAATAGACCATTTGAAGCACACACCTGCACATAAATTATTCAACATCAATATTTTAGTAAAGTTACCTTACCAAGCATGCGTGGACTAGCAAATCGTCCATGGTGGGCTTTATGAAGTCAATGACAGTTTTTCTCATGCGTGGCAATAGTGGTTGACGCCCTGCAAAACATGCGGATATGAGAGACATAGAAATATCGGTGAAATCGTACTGTTGCTAGTAAGAACCATGGGGCGTTTCGAGGACTTTGCTAATTGGCCAATTGCCGCCAAAAATCCCTTATCCTCCTCAAATACCGTGTCAATTTCTTCAAACAAGATAATTGTCGGTTTTCTTCCATCTTGATCGGAGCTATAATAAATTCACGTTAGAACTGTAGACCAAACAAAAACAAATCGGAAAACCATATCACTGCTTCAGATTGAGTTGCTTCTCCAAATCTTTTCTTGATAGTTGCTCCAGCGCGACTGTCTGAAGAGTTTATCTACAAGAAGAAAAGAGGGTGAAGAGGAAGTTCGCACATATACCACATTACCTCAATAACATTAAACCCGTGCTCCCTGGCGCATGCATAGACGGCTGCAGATTTACCACACTGAAAGAATGCTTCACCTTAAATCCCAGCAAACACAACATCAAACGTACCCCGACAGGACCAGTCACAAGCACGGTATTTTGTAGACCGTCCCGTAAATCTTCATCCTCAATCTCGTAGTCTCCATCGCTGTCTCTATCGCTGTCCAATGATGCCTGCTTTCTAGACAATATTTTCTGTTTCCATCTGGAGAGCCACTCGCTTAAGGAACTCACGGAGTCCCTGTTTCCACACAACTAAGAAGCAGGAACATCAGGCACGCAAAGATTTTAACTTGAACTAGACACCTGTTTAGAGGAGTGCGGCTGGTACAAACATGTCCACGAAGGGTTCGCCGTGGTAGTAACTCCATCAGTATTTCTAGCTAGATACCACGCATATCTGCAAGTCATAGTTAAAAGTGACTAATAAAAAACACAATGCCGCATACTTCTCCTTCAAACTTGCCACTGACAAGTGTTTATGACCGGACTCCTAACACAAAAAAGCGTTACAGTAGAAGCCTCTAAAAGATAAAAGCACTACCTTTAAAAAGTCATGAACTTTCTCCAAACTTTCATCCAGGGTAGCTGCATCAGATAAGAAGCGTTGCGATGGAGCAAGCTTCTGGTCTTTTGAAATTAAGTAACCATGGTCATGGTCATCACTCGAAGTAACCTGTGATGCCGATGTTACAAAACAAGAACGCTGGAAAGAGTTCCAGTTTATGTCCGCGTCGACATTCTGCAAGACAACATGAAAAGAGGTTCAGTGATAGCTCAGAAGACTCTTTCTTACCATGGTATCTTGAAGTACGTGAAATGGCAAACACGGGTCCCAGAATGAGCCCCGCTTTATCGGCGAGTCCTCACTTCTCTCTTGTTTTTTGTTGCGCTGAAAAAACGGATGAAGAGGTTTTCCAGCGCTCAAGAGATTAAATTCCTGCAGATCTTAAGTAAATTGGAAGAACAAAGAGGCAACAAAGGTGATTTTACCTCCGTGGCCATTCGTGCTTCCTTGCGCAGATCGTAAGCACACAACAATGAATCCCGGTCCACAATTTCTTCCTTTCTAGTTTTTGCGCGGGACTTCTTTTTCTTGTGACGCTTTTTGGAAGCCCGCACTGGAGGAGAACTAATTGGTTCATCTGGTTCCTTAGAATCGACAGGTTCCTCGGTATTGACAGGTTCCTCGGCATCGACAACATTGGACTTCCTTTTCCTCAACCTTGTGGACCAAAGAGGATAAAAACCTGCGAGCGCAAGAAATGTTGAGGTAGAACAAACTTGGTATGATAATCCAGTCCAGCCTACCATTTTCCATTGCATTCTCATTGCCCACGCTGTCGATCTGTGTGCTCTCCATCGAATCGCGAATCTTCACCTCCGCTTGGCTGGCATTCGGTGAAGAACCTTCGATTCCTGGGCTCGGATCGCTTTCACCTTGAGTTGGAGAAACCCTAGGACGCAGGGGAGACGTTGCCTTCTTTGCGCCATCCTCCATCTGTGTGCTCTCCAGAGAATCGCGAGTCTTCACCTCCGCTTGGCTTGCATTTGGTGAAGAACCCCCATTGCTGTCGACTCCTGGGCTCGCTACAACTGCATCACTTTCAACTCGAGCTGAAGAAACCCTAGGGCGCAGGAACGCGTCAAGGGTGCCAGGACGTGGAGACGTTGGATCGGCTTTTGCCTTCTTGGCCCTCCCACGCCGCTTGTGCCGATCGGAGCTCCCGCCATCCGCCATAGCTTCCTTTCTCCTCGTCGAGCTAGGGCACATTCCAAAATTTGGCGCCAAAAATTTGGCCATCCGAGCAAGGTCGACACCGTCACCTTCTCAGGAATTTCCTTGGCAGCAAACGATCAATATCAATTAACCGAGCAATGATTTTGATCGTACTACCCTGTAAATGCTATGGTTTTTCAAACGGCTAGTTGATTTTAGGGTGGGTTCTTGTTGGCGATGGAGGTGGACTCCCCGCCGCTGGCGAGGAAGGAGGCGCGATACTCTCCGAAGGTGAGTGATCGGGTTCACGAGAAAAGGTGCGGCATTCTTAGCTACTGAGCTGTCCAGGATGAAGATTTTGAGCGCCGCGACCAGCGGTACAAGGGCCAGCAGTACAGCCACCTCTATTACTGCCGGCTTCACAAATTTCGTGAAGTTCTCGGCTCGATCGTTCAATCCAGCCTTCCTCGTGTTCCAGGTGAGAGAATCATTTTCTTCTCTGGTCGGCATCACTTTCTTCTGCTTTGTAGTTTCTCCGATCTTGGGACTGAAAGATGGAAAGCGCTGCGTTGTTATTGGAACAGTCTACAAGCAGATGAAGCTCAAGCCATCCATTCTGGACGAATATGCAAAAGAGGTAGCTACACTTGTCTGTGTGTTTTTGTGTGACCTTGCTTTTCTCCTGCAGCGCACAAAACCTCTCGCAACAGCTTCTAGTTTCATGCATTCAGAGGATTATTTGGTGCTAGAAGATGCGAGTGGTCGCGTGAAGCTCGTCGGCAGCATGATTGTGCCCTCGAATTATGTTACCGGTATGTATCTTGTGTACGACCAAGTGTTCGAAAGGACTCTCGTTTGTCGTTGCAGGCATTGTTATTGCTGCTTGGGGACAGGGAGGAAAGGACGGCGACTTCTTTGTACGACAAATAATTGAGCCCGGTTTACCACCTCAGTCACCATTGCCTTCCATCACAGGCAAGCCAGCCTGCCCCTACTTGAAGTTTCGCGTCTGAGCCCGTCTTTTCTCAGAGGACAAGTATGTCGCCCTCGTTTCTGGCTTGAGGATTGGTAGTGATCATTGTAACCCTTTGCAAATACAGCTCTTGGTTGATCACCTTACCGGGCATTTGGGCGATGAACAGGTAATCAGACACAGGAATATTATATCATGACCTTTATTGTCTAGGAGCAAATGTTGAGCGCTCAGGTCGTTCGTCTGATAGTTGCGGGAAATTCTCTTGATGTGCAATATAACTTGCTCGCCGGGCAGGTTTGTCTTCCAAAAACATCCTGTATGCTCTTAGCATTTGCAGGCTATTTCCGCCAAGGACCAAGCGAGGTTGACTGAACCAGTGAAGGAGCTTGACATTGTGCTAACTCAAGTAAGTCCGTGCGCACGCATTTGCTACTTACATTGGGCCTGTAACAGATAGCAGCAGCAATGCCAGTTGATATTATGCCCGGCGCAAATGATCCTGCAAACTTTACTTTACCCCAGCAGGTATGAAATGCTTGCTGATATTACCACCAGAATTAAGACGCTATTTCAGCCCTTGCATAAGTGTCTCTTTCCTGGAGCGTCTGCTTACAGTACCTTTTTATCTGCGACAAATCCTCATCGATTTGAACTGGACGGTATAGAGTAAGTATTCTCTGTTTGATATTACTGTTTCAGGAATCAACTAGTTCTGTGCAGGTTTCTCGGCACGTCTGGACAAAATGTCGATGATCTTGAAAAGTACTCGGAAGCCAAAGATGTCATCGAACTTATGGAAAGAACTCTGCGCTGGAGACATATTGCGCCTACAGCTCCTGATACACTGGGTATGCTATTTCACGCAAGTAATGTCGCTCACTTTGTGCTGCGAGCAGGCTGTTTTCCATACACGGATAAGGATCCGTTCGTTCTGGACACATGTCCGCATGTTTACTTCTGTGGAAATCAAAAGAGCTTTATGTCTCGCTTAGTTACTGGTATGTATATTTGTTTAGCCCTTCACCGCCTGTTTCTTACCGCCGACTGCTTCTTAGTTGAAGGGAAATTGGTGAGAGCTATTTCGATTCCGCGCTTTTGTGATTCGGGAACTGCCGTGATGGTAACTTGTTCAGACCGTTTGTTTGTTGGCTTCCAACATCGATGATTGCCAGGTGAACTTGCGGACACTGGATTATCATCTGCTTACGCTTTCCACTGCCTTCGCGTTCGATGCTTGAGGTGGTGTAGTGTAACAAGTACTCACCACCACTCTCCAGGAATCAGTGTATGCACTCGCATCCTGTGCAGGCTTGCACAGTTTTTTTTTTTCTCATCCCGCGAGTATTTATAAAATGTGGTTAAATAATTAAAAGAAGTAGCAAATCTCTCTCTTGATACGATTGAATCCAAAATTGAGTGTATACACCTACTCAGACTGTAAAGAGTTTGTATATCAAAGAGTGTTTGCTATTCCCCATGTTTGTGAGTTTTCATTAGCATGTACTCCCGCTGCTTCTGGATCATGGCCTCAAAAACGTCTAGCAGCGACTCCAGCCCCGTTGCCTCTGGCTCAAAGACCTTGAGTGCATAGACGATTCCCTCGAGAGTTGACATGCAGCCAGGCCGGGGCTCGGGCCTCACGAACTCGTACATGCTCTTGAAACTGGCGGGCAACTTGTACTGCGGCAGCTGGAACAGCCACGGGTTCTCCATGTAAAGCCGCCTGGCCTTGGACCACGTCCCATCTATGACAATTATCTGATCGGGAGCTCGGCATGCTTCGCCACTTTCCTTGCCTTGCTCCCCTCCATCTACACCCGATCGGTGGCCAAACTTAACGCCCGGAAACATTGCGTGCAAGTCCTGGGCCCTGTCGCTGGGGAAGATGAGAGCTGCGTTCGGCGAGAGGTTGATCCAGGAGGGTGCTGTCCGTGGGAGATATGGATCCATGGTAGCACAGCCGTAGAACCAGCAGTCGTGCTGGGTCCTGTCGTGCTGCTGACAGACGACAAGCTCGTCCTGTTCAGCGGGACTGCCATTACGCATGCAACGGTTGGAGCCCGCTACCTTGGGACGCACCCGATAAGAAGTGCCCGTGTTGATCTGCGGAACGACGATCACCTCGATGTTCTTGAGGCCCAGCATTGCAACCCGGACAGAGCCCAAGTGGTGCTCCTTCTCCTCGGGATTTTGGAGCACGGTGACACGGATCCTGTTGTGGATGGGCTCCCCGATCATGCCACACACGCACAGCACCGCCGCCTTGAGGCAGCGCTCGCAAAACTCCCTCTTACCAGCATCAGGAGCAGCTGGAGACTCCGGCATCCAAGAAAGAAATCCATCGTCCACGACATCGCCCATCAGCTGCCGCCGCCCTAAACGAGAGTATGTTAGGGCAAGGACCAGGCAAGACTGCATTCGCCTCGTCCAAGCCTGCAATGTCCTCCCGGAGGCGCGGGAGCTCCTCAAGCTGGCAGCAGCCACCACGGAGCTCTCGGCCGATTCCTACGTGTGCAACCTTCTCGTCCAGATGTTTGGGCGCTGTGGGAGCGCCGAGGAAGCGCATCGGGTGTTTGCACAGATCCCACATCCAGATGCCTTCTCGTGGAAATCACTCCAGGCAGTGTATACCAAGCTTGGGGATGTTGACAAGGCCAAGAGCGTCTTTGATTCCATGCCAGACCGTGACATCTTTGCATGGGCAGACCTCCTTGCCGCCTACACCCGCTCCGGCCGCTTCGAGCAAGCACAGGAAGTCTTCGGCAAGATGCCCGAGCATGATCTTGCTGCGTGGAACACGATGCTGTACGCAGTTGCAAACGCCAGGCATCTGGAGCAAGCCCGCAGCTTCGTCAACCGGATGCCTGCCCGCGACATTGTGTCGTGGACGACACTGCTGTGCTGCCCGTCTCTGGGTCTGGACGGCGCCAAGGCGATCTTCGTCCAGGAGATGCCAGAGCACAACACGGTGGCTTGCAATGCAATGCTTGTGCTGCTGGTGAGGCATGGCGACTGGGACGAAGTGGACAGGGTGCTCGCTGCGATGCCCACCAAGAACATGGTCACCTGGAATGCAATCCTCAGCTGCGCCAGAAGCGGGCACATTGACAGGGCCCGAGAGGTTTTTGATCGCCTCATGCCCTTTAGGGACCTTGTCTCGTGGAACTCAATGCTGGCGGCAAGTGCCCGAAGTGGGCATCTAGATCAAGCGTCCAGCCTGTTTCATTTGATGCCCGAGAGGAACCTGGTGTCGTGGAACTCACTCCTGTCGGCTTATGCAGGTGTTCTGGATGTGGAGTCTGCGCAGGCCATCGTGAACGCCATGCCGCAAAGGAGTCTCGTTTCTTGGAACGTCATGCTGACAGCATATGCCAAGACCGGGCATCTTTTCGAGACGCGGGCGCTGTTTGGGCGCATGGCTGAGCGCGACGTTGTATCGTGGACGGCCATGCTGACGGCGTATGCGGACCACGGGCATGTCGAAGAGGCCCGGTGTTTGTACGATGGGATGCCTCTCCGGAACGTGGTTGCCTGTAATGCCATGCTCGCTGCATATGCCCAGAATGGGCAACTGGACGAGGCGAGGCGCGTGTTTGACTCCATGCCCGAGCGAAGCCTTGCGTCGCTCAACGCCCTGGTCTCGGCCTATGCTCGTAATGGCTGCCTGCCGGAGGCACAGCGCGTGTTTGATTGCATGGAGGAGCGGGACGTTGTGTCGTGGAACGCACTGCTTGCGGGCTATGCACAACATGGAACCTGCAGCGAGGCCGTCGGATTCTTCCGGAGAATGCCTCACCACAACCTCAATTCGTGGAACATAATCCTCGCCGTGCTTGCCCAGAACGGGCATCTGCTGCATGCGCGGCAGGTGTTTGATGCGATGCCGGATCGCAGTGTGGATTCCTACGTGGAGATGATGGCGGCGTACGGGCGTGCGGGGCATTTTGGTTGCGCGAGTGCCGTGTTTGATGCGATGCCGTTCCAGACGGTGGTGACTTGGACTGCCTTCTTGTCGACGTATGCTCAGAATGGGCATCTCGACGAAGCCAGGGGGATCTTCCACTCCATGCCCGAGTGGAACCTTGTGTCGTGGAACGCGATGCTGGTTGCACATACGAAGACTGGCGAGCTGGAGCAGTCGATGCTCGTGCTCAATGCGATGCCGGAGCGGGACTTTATGACGTGGAACGCCATGACCATCGGCCTCGGCAAGGCTGCCCGTCTAAAGCTCGCGCACACCCTGTTTGATAGGATGCCGGACCGACGCTCGTCACCCTGGAGCGCCATCCTCGCGTCCTACACACACAACGGTCGCTCCAGAGAGGCAGACGCTCTCTTTCGGGAGATGGTTCTCGAGGGTCTCAAACCCGACGACGCCGTGCTCACCTCCATGCTCTTGGGCTGCAGCCACGGCGGCCAATTCACAACTGGACTATCGTACATCCGTTCCATGCTCATGGATCACGGCTTGAAGCCCGCCAAGCAGCACTACGGCTGTCTTGTGGATCTCCTGGGCAGGGCCGGCCACTTGGAGCAGGGCCAAGATCTCATCGCCAACATGCCCTTTGAGCCGGAAGCTCGAGATTGGATTTGCTTGCTCGCAGCAAACCGAAACGCGCAGCAGGCCGAGGCCCGCATTGCAAGATCCGCGGCTCTGGAACTCGATCCAATGCATAACGCGCCTTACGTACTGGCGGCGGCGGCCTAAAGATACCAGTCGCCCCGGTGGAATATGCTTTGAGTCGTTTAGTAGTAAACCCTACAGCGAGCTTCGTGCGCCTTAGATCTGCGAGGCCGGCTCCTCTAGCGCGAGTGTTTTGGTGCGCCATGGATGAGGAGTACGACGTCATTGTGCTGGGGACGGGTCTCAAGGAGTGCATCCTCAGCGGGCTGCTGTCGGTGGATCGTCTCAAGGTGGGTTTTTCTCGATCGGAGTTGGAAGACATCTCTCTCGCAGGTGCTACACATGGACAGGAACGACTACTACGGGGGAGAATCGGCGTCTCTCAATCTTGTCCAGGTCTGTGCGTCACATTAGGGCGTCTGTCTCTCTCTCTCTGATCGTTGATCGTGCTCTCTTGCAGCTTTACCAAAAATTCCGCAACAGTGACAAGCCTCCACCGTCGCTCGGTCCGAGCAGGGACTACAACGTTGATATGATCCCAAAGGTTTGGATCCACTTGACTCGCTAAAGATTTCTCTCACTCCCCGCATTCTTTCTTTTTTTTTTTGCAGTTCATGATGGCTAACGGGCAGCTCGTCCGAGTTCTCATTCACACCGATGTGACCAAGTACTTGGCTTTCAAAGCCGTAGATGGAAGCTTTGTGTATACCAAAGGGAAGGTAATCGAAAACAAAAATGTCGAGTTTCAATTCAAACCTTTGGGCCATTTTCTTTTTTCCAGATCTACAAGGTTCCTGCGACCGATGTAGAGGCTATCAAGTCTACGCTTATGGGCATTTTTGAAAAGAGGAGAGCGCGGAAATTTTTCATCTATGTGCAGGACTACAACGAAGCGGATCCAAGGACTCACGACGGCATGGATCTCAGTAGAGTAACGACCAAGGAGTTGTTCGCGTAGGCTTGTTCATTACTTTTTTTGTGCGTCTATTCACCATGCTGTTATTCTTCGTAGGCACTTTGGACTTGACGATAACACCATCGATTTTATTGGCCACTCACTGGCATTGCACCGGGACGATAGATACTTATCTGAGCCGGCTCTGGAAACGGTGAAGAGATTTAAGGTACTGCTACAAACTATGTCTTTTCTTCCTGCGGTTGTCATCTTAATGCTTTCTTCCGAAGTTGTATGCAGAATCTCTGGCTCGCTTTCAAGGCGGTTCCCCTTATATTTATCCGCTCTATGGCTTGGGAGAACTTCCTCAGGTTGGCTTTTCCTCCCTGTGTCCTTGGATAGTAAACTCTGCTGCAGGCATTTGCACGCCTGAGTGCCGTATACGGCGGGACGTACATGCTTCAGAAGCCAGACTGCACGGTACGCGTCGCATGCGTTTGCGCATCTTTTACATCGCGCGTGCTGGTTTTGCAGATAGAGTTTGACGAGGAAGGCAAGGTTAGAGGCGTCACCTCCGAAGGTGAAACTGCCAGGACCAAGAAAGTTGTCTGCGATCCTAGCTATGCACGAAACAAGGTAGAGAGGAATTTGTATTCGTTTGTGCCAGCACTCTCCCTGACAAAGTTTGCTTGACAGGTTCGGAAGGTCGGGAAAGTTGTCCGGGCCATATGCATCATGAGCCATCCAATCCCAAACACGAACGATTCCTCGTCAGTTCAAGTTATCCTTCCCCAAAAGCAACTGGGACGTAGGTCTGATATGTAAGTGTGTAGTAGCTTTGCGATGTTGTGGCCTGATATAGTGATTGTTTCTGCTAGGTACGTGTTTTGCTGCTCTTATTCGCATAATGTTGCTCCAAAGGGCAAGTTTATCGCCTTCGTGTCGACCGAGGTGGAGACGTCAGAGCCCGAAAAGGAGCTCCAGCCCGGGCTCAGTCTTCTTGGGCCTGTGGATGAGATGTTCATTGACGTTTACGACAGGTTTGAACCAGTGAATGACTGGACACTGGATAACTGCTTTATTTCCAAGGTGATGCTCCATTTCTCTCCAGAAAAAGGATGTTGCTAATCATCCATCTTTGGCTTTTTTCAGAGCTACGACCCAACCACACACTTTGAGACTACAGTGCAAGATGTTCTTGCCATGTACACCCGCATAACCGGAAAGGTATGGTTTGTAATAATCCTGGCGCCAACATCTCACATCTAAATTCCGCAGGTCCTAGACTTGAGTGTGGACTTGAGTGCCGCCAGTGCTGCGGACGAGTGAAAGTCTTCACTACGGGCCTTGTAAAAATCTGGTGAACGATTGATCGGGTTGTTGTCTGCGTTTTTATATGAATGAATACCAAGTCTGTCTTCCAGTTGCTCTCTCTCTCTACCAGTGTGGAACAAGCGAAGCAAGAGCAGCAAGAGTGAGGACAAGTGCCATGGCTTTCCTCGCCAAGCCTGGATCAGACACCTCGTCCCTCTGAAAGCTGTCTTCCGGCATGCTGGCACACGACAAAGCCCACAAGAGGCCGAGCCAGGTGTTGCCGCTGGCCAGGAGCGACACACTACCCAGAACAAATGTCAAGCCGGAGACGTAGCCAAACGCGCGCCTTCCCAGGCACGCGGTGAGCATACGGCCACCCTCGGAGACGCCACAAGGGAGCAAGCTGACGAGCGTGAAGTTGAATCCCAGCAAGCCACCGAGCGCCAAGGGACTCAGGCTCACCACGGGGTCTCCGTCACCTTCCCACGGCCAAACCGACGACGAGAGCTCCTTGAGCATCCAAGTGAGCAGGCCCGAGTGAGCAAAGGCCCGAGACGAGACCTCGACGACGGGCAGGGCAGCGGAGGCGCCCGCAGCGACGAGCAGGGCCGAGAGAGCGAGCTGCAGCAGGGATGTGGCGGCGGACAAGTCGAAGAGGCAGCGCCGGTTTGGCAGGCATCCACGATAGTAGACAAAGGTTGGGATGGCACCGAGCTGAGGAACCGGGAGCACGAAGAGCGGCGTCACGGCCCACAGGACGCCGTAGAGCGACGCCACGGCCCTCCGCAGCAGCGTACCGCCGGCAACGACGGCTAGCAGGCCGAGAGGAGGCACGCACTGCCACAGCGAGGGTGACGGCATTGACAAGTTGGCACTGCTAGCGGCGGCCCAGGCTAGCATGAAGTAGGAGATCGCGGCGGCCTGGCGCTCCGGGAGGTGGAGGAAGATGAGGGACGTGCAGTGTGTGAGCAAGCATGCGACTTGATCGCCACCACCAGCACCCGCAGCGCCAGCGTTGAGGACAAAGGCAGCCCAGCCGCGGTTTCTCTTGTCCAGCTCGCTCTGGAGCTGGCTCTGGAGGGTGGCGGCGTTGATGCTGGTGGGTGAGGATAGCAGGCAGAGCCTTCCATAGCGGACTGCGAGGCGCCGCGATGGCAAGCCCGCGGACACAGTGTCCAGGACGCGGCCGAGCTCTCCGTCAGCGTCCAGGATGAAGTTGGACATCCTGTAGGCGTAGTCGAGGGCGAGCTCCGCCGCCGCGGATGGACCTTTCCACCAGAGCTTGAACTTGACGTACATGGACAGCACAAACCACCTCTCGAACCTCATGTCGGTGTGAGAGACGCTGTTGAGAGGCTCCCCATTCAAGTCGCAGAACAAACCCGACGCTAGCAGTGATCTGGCCTTGAATCGCGCCACGTCCCTGTCCACCACCGCCTTCAACCGTGACAAGCCACTGCTGCTGCTGCTGCTGCTGCTCGAGATTGAGAAGCGGTCGTCGTTGCCATCGTCTTCGTCGTCGTCAGCGTACACGGTTGCGAAAGTTGCTACCAGGAGAGGGAAGAGATTGTCGTGCCTTGGAATGTAGATATCGGTCTTGCCAAACAGCTCCTCCCTCACAAAGCCCATCATCTCATACGACTGCTCCATCTCCTTGTTCTTCTTCTTCCGCTTGCGCTCGTTGGCTTCAATCAGCCCGCCACCAGCAGCCCCATCGTCTCTTCCTTGGAACATCCGCATCACCGAGCTAGACACCTCCATCTTCACAGAAGACTGCTGCTTCTCGTCTCCATCGCTGCCTTGTCCTTGCCCACCTTGTTGTTGCTCCTCCTGGGCTCGGCAACACTGGTGTCTCCTCGGCTGCGCCACCACCCTCCTCGCCCGCCACGGCGCAAACGTGACCACCACTGCAGCCATGAGAGAGCGAGAGAGAGAGCTTGCCCTAGCGAGGAGCACAAGTTATGATATGGGCGAGGTGGAGGTGAGGACGCTGGTGGAGCGCGAGGTGCCCGGCTGGGCGGAGGACGATGTCAAGGTGGATGCGCTGTTCAAGGCCTTCTCTGGGCAGCGCGAGGATTGGCAGGGACGGCTCGACTTCTGGCGAGCGCTCATCGTCAAGCTGGCTCGTCACCTGGGCCTCATTGTCATCGACGGCCGGGAAGTGAGTATGGGATTCTCATTTCTAGCCTAAAGCACGCTGTGGCACAGGTGCAACTGCGATGGTTTCTACGCGATGGACTACTGCCCTTGTGCCTGAACGATGTCCTAGTCAGTATTCTTAAACTGTTTCTCTTTTGGATTCATATCCTGGGATGGAACAGCGTGAAATGCTGCGGTCTGGAGAACTCCAGGCATTGGAACAGCAGGAGCGGCAGCAGCGAACTTCAAGCCTGGGACGGGCTCTGGCATGGGCGCTGGGTTTCCAAACGGCCAAGGACACCATCGACACTGCCGTGGGTGGCAGACTAGTCGTCACCGTTCTTCTCAAGGTAATACTAGACTTCTCGTTGTGTCTTTCTGATCAAGCACCTTGGCAGGAAAGGGTGGCGCACGTCTGCAAAACTCTAGCCGACACAAGCTGGAAATCGGACTGCATTGTGACCATGAAGTCGTTTGTGGGGCTGTTTGGCGAGACCGACGACGCCAAAGCTGCAATGCACTACCTGCTTGACAAGAAGCTGGCTCGACACGTTTGCATCGACGAAAGGGATGAGCTGATTGAGGTAACACGGGCAAGTCTGTCGTGACTACGTCTAAAGAGCGCGCAAGCAGGGGCTCAAGATATCACTGGTGCAGTCTTGTGTGTCTGCCTTGAACCAAGTGGATTACCACATGTTGCAGCTCCACTGGACCAGCGAGAAGATGAAGCAGAGGTTGGATGCTCTTGACCAGCGAGTTTCACAGTGAGTTCCGTGAGCTGCTCGATCTCCATGCGTGACTTGTCTATGCAGGCTTCGCGAGGCTGCGGTCGGGGCTAAAGACAAGCGTGTTGCCTTGAGACACTTGAGATCCATGAAGGTCTTGGCAAGCAGCCGGGACAAGTGTGCGGACCTCATGGCCAGGATCCAGGAGATACTGGACGCCATCTCTGATGCAGAAGCGACTAAAAAGGTGTTTGTTCCCAATTTTTGGTGCAAAATCTTACAGGAGGATGTGCTCAGGTCTCGGAAGCCATCCAGCTGGGGAACCGCGCCATGAGAGAACACCACGTCACTCTGGAAGAAGTTCACGAGCAACTCAAGGAGATGGACGAAGCAATGGTGCTGACGAAAGTAGTCGGAGACGCTCTAGGTGATGTTGTTTTACGTTTGTGGTGGCTAGTTTTACCGATGTGCCGAGTCGCAGGTGGCCCGGCGAGCATCGACGCTGTTGAAGATGAGGATCTGCTACAGGAGATCGCCAGCCTCGAGGAGGAGGTTCGCCAAGAACCGGGAGGACACAAAGAAGAGCTGGCAGGGACAATCTCTACACCGGATGAGGAAGTTGCTTTGGTGGTGGAAGGCTTTTCAAACTTGCAGGTAGCATCGGCCTGAAGTGGCACAAGGATTTTGTCTTTTGAACGGTCGCATGTCCCCATAACCAAGTTTTCTATATCCACAGCCGACGCTTTGCTGCAGTGTGGGACCGAGATTAACGCACACTTCTGCAGTCACCACTAAGATTTGCAGCACCCTGCTGCTATAAAGTTTCCTGGTCGTCACGAATCTATTGATCAGTGGCAAGCTAAAGATCACAACCATTCTTAAAACAAAGTATCACACCTGAGTACCCAAAATAAATATAAAACCTAGAGATGTGACTCCACTTAATAAGTTTGAGACGAGCATTCTTCCGGAATTTCTTCAGAGACGAGACATTTCCACATTCGATATTCAGGTGTCTCCATTAGCTCGCCTAAATGAAACAAGAAAATAAACTCTGAAATAAAGCATGAAACCACATACCTGAAGAAATTGCCTCGTCAATCACTCCCATAAAACGATAAGAGTCCTCGCTCGGCTTCGAACACATAAGATGTGCAAATACCCTGGCATGGAACAATTTTGATTTTGAGTATGCAGTAAGAAATTCTTTGCTTACTCGTCCATATCACCGTCATGCTTTGTGTACAAGTCTTTGAGGTCTTTCGTCTCAGCCTCTGAACCTCTATAATCGTCATGGAAACTTTCGATATCATCCAATGTCACTCGCTATTATAAAAAAAAATCTTAATTTATCAGGAAGTGTAGAGTTTATTAGTAACTTTCATACTTGATTGCTTCTTCTGGAGAGCTCATACACGGATGGGTAAGAATCTCCCATTTCCTGGCAAGATGAAGAAACCATAAGAGAAATAATAAACAAAGAACTTACAATGCCCATTTGGTCATAAATAGCCCTCTTATCGGGATCACTCAAGATCTTGAAGGCATTATGGAGCCTTTGGAAGTTTTCCATGGCATCCTGGGAAATAGAAAGAGATAAACAAGAGATTATTTGCTACAAGAAACCTTATTTCCTGGATTCTTGTCTGGATGCAACTCCAGTGATCGATTGAGGTAAGCCTTTCGTATCTCGTCACTTGATGCTGTCCTTGAGACTCCAAGAATCTACAGCGGCCATAAGCAAAAATGGAATGATTGGAAGAATGCAAAAATGGAAGAATAGATATTTTATACCTCATACAAGCCTGTGCCGTCTTCAAGCTTTCCACTGCCTCCAGCCCCATCATGCTTCCCAGCCATTTCTACAAGGGTTTTGCCCACAAATGTTGCGAGGGTTTTCCCCGCAAGGGTCGCTCTTGATTCTCCCGCCAGTCATAGTACAGTATATTCGCACAATATGATTTGCACAAGTCTACGTTTTTAAGAGCAGCAAGGACAAGATATTCCTAGTGAGATATGCAGGAAGCTAGTCGTTAAATCCACTCCAGCGAGAAAACAAAGCAGAGACCCATTCGTGGATGATCGATTTCCAAAGCTTGTCAAGGCTTCGCGAGGCAGCGGTCGAGGCAGCGTGTTGCCTTGAGACACTTAAGATCCATGAAGGCCTTGGCAACAAGAGTGGCCAGGATCCAGGAATACTGGACGCCATACTCTGAGGCAGAAGCGACTAAAAAGGTGATTGTTTCCAAGTTTCGGTGCAAAAACTTACAGGTCTCGGAAGCCATCCAGTTGGTGCCATGGACGAAACAATGGTGCTGACAAAACTATAGTCGGAGACGCTCCAGTGTGATGCTCCGGTGGCGCAAGTTATTCCTCTCTTTGTTTTGGATTTTCTCACGGGGCTCTTTCGAATGGTCGCGTGTCCCTGTAACAAGTGTTCCACACTCTATCCACGGCTGATGCCGCCTCCGCTTTGCTGCAGTGTGGGTTCATAGCGACCGACAGATTGGCCCTCCTCCTAACGCACACCTGCAGGCAGCATGAAGCCGAGAAACTCAACTCTCAATCAACGCTTGCCTGCTGATGCTTTTGGACCCCAAAGTTTCCTCGGTTGAACTCCTGTTTGAAGCGGCAGTCGCCGCTAAGATTTGCAGCACGAATCTAGATATACGGTCGCCAGCACAAGTTAGCAACAGCACAGAAACGTTGTACGCACCTCGCTACAGGCGTGGTGCTCGCAGTTGGTCCAGTCCAAGTTCCTGGCACGGCAGTGATCGTAGGCATGGATGAGTTCGTGCGCCAAGATCGCGTCTACCTCCTGCTGAAACCCGACGCGGTTGCTGCAAATCACTACAAGAGAGGAGCGCTCGCGTTTGTGTCCGCGTCACCAACGATGCGATGCCTACCCACACCCTTATCGGACTGGAACCCGCCCGCGACCTTTTGCTCGCATTCCTCCACCTTGAAGAAGTTGCTCCCGGTGCTGCAGCCCGCCTTGTCCAGGGCCTCCCGCAGAAAATGGACAGTGGGATCTGTGGCAAGTCAGCAACTGAGGAGACCCATAAACACGACCACTCACTCACTTCGCTTGAGGGTGTTGGCCACCAGCTTCTCGCAGCGCTCGACGCTGGTGCCATAGATTTTCTTGGCTACCTCGTCTTCCATGACCTAGTGGAAGTCTAGGTTTGCGTGTATTAAGATGTATTGTCAATTTTAAAAAGAAAAATAAAGAACCTTTCTCAATAAAAGTTGCAATTACTTGTATTTCTGTACTCAAGTTAGTTTTAGTTTATTTTTTCCTTATTCACACTCTGCTGAAAAATAAACTAAACTCTATATATAAAATCTTGTAAAATGTGTTGTATTAATTTTTTTGCAACTTGTAAAATTGTTTTTTGTATTCTATATATTTTAAGGATCTTAGATCTCATGACTAAATTTTTAATTGATTTTAAATTTCATGTAATAATGAATTTTTGACCATTTAATATGTTATTAATGCAACAAAATATAAAAGTCTAAAACCTCAAAAAAAAATATTTAAAGGTAAAAATAAAATGAATTAAAGACCAAATATTTATTTAAGAATTAGTTAAAAACTAATATATATATATATATATATATATATATATATATATATATATATATATATATATATATATAAAGTTGATCATTGATTTTTATAAAAGAAAAAAATTAATTAAAGAATAAAGCTAATATTAGCTAAATTCACACCCATATCCTGTTCTATGTGGCTAGATATGAATATTTTTTTAATAGTTATTATCGATGTCTTTGTAGTTCTTTCATTTATAAATCACTTTACTTTTCTATACAGTTATAAATAAATAATGCACAGTAATATGTAATGCTAGTGATAAATAGTGAAAAAAAAATATAATGATGCACATGTTAGTATAAATAATTTTAAAATATAAAAAAGTAAAATTTTTCTTTCAAAAGTAAAACTAATTTCCTTAAATCAATTTTAAAATATAAAGTTGATGTAAAATATAAGCTTATTATGACAATAATTTTATATCTTTCAAATTTGTTGTTTTTAATAATTAAAAACCTTATACGAAATTTATTAATTTTAGGTGAATTAATTAAATTAGGAAAAAAATTTATAAATTACTATTTATTCACCATCAATCAATTGTGAAAGAGTGTGGAATTTACACTTATATAAAAAATTATATTTTTACTTATCAACTTTTCTATTTTAATATTATAGATTTAAAATTTTAATTCACATTCTGAATTAAGTTTTAAATATTACAAATACTTCTACATTTTTACTTAATTAACTAAAACATAAAATAAATAAACAAATCGTAAATTGTTTTAATGTTTACTATTAAGGATCAATTCAATTTAATTTAAGTTTAAATATTAAATATAAATAAATAAATAAATGGAATGCTACTATCACATCATTTCACACCTGGACCTGGTGAAGCAGTTTCTTTCTCAGTTCTCTGTTTTCTCTTAAGGCACCCAACAGCTTCCTCTCTGCCACTGCTTGCTTCCTCACTGCAAACACAATTTGCTGTTGTGACTCTCGCAACTGTTCTTGCAAATCGTCCTCATCAATGTCCTTGTCCTTGCTACTGCCGCTGCCCTCTTCCATGGTATTCCTCTGGTCGTTCAATGAAGAAGCCCCCTTCCTCTCTAATTTGAGCTCCTCTACGAGTATCAATGCTTCTTCCAAACGCTTTTCAATCTCTTGTTTCTCTGTCAATGCTCGAGTGAGTGCCTCCGCCAGCTCGAGTTGCTGCTGCTTGTTCTCGGGTCGCGTGGACAGACTGTCCCCTTCACTGGACAAACTCGGCACAGAGGACTCCTGCACGTAATGCAACAAAAACAAGGTTGGGAGCAAAACCGGGAAATTCACGAACCAGCTCCTCAATTACGTCGACAGCGGAATTGTCTGCTCCCTGTGGTGGTTGATTTTGATCCAAGCCTCTGGCATTCAAAGAGCCACTTGTAAAGCTGAACGGCAAGGAAGAAGCGGAAAAGTCGTCATGTAGCTCTTTGATGATCTCGTCTCGCTTGGACACGACAGGAACAGTTTTGCTGCTATTACTGATCATCATGACAAAGATCTGAATCGGACGTTATCGTTTGCACAAGAATTTTGGTCAATCCGTTTACCTGATTGCTTAGAATTGCACCATGGCCTCCAAACACCAACAAAAAGACCTTTCCTTTGGTGCGAACCTTGACGAGGCTAATGCCCTACATAGCACACGACATTGCAAGTTTAAAGCATCATATTCAAAGCCTAGATAGGAGGGTGAGGCGCCTACGTCGTTCGCAAGGGGAGTACCAGGCTGCACAGTAGTCACAGTTTGCCAATTCCCGGAGTCTACGTTGAATGCCATTGTCTCTAAAACCTCTGGCAATTCCTTGGGAATTTTAGAAGGATTTGAAACGTATAGAGTATGACACTTACCACCTCCTTTGTATTCACCTCCAACAATGTACCACTTGGATCCAACCATCACTCCAGCATGACCTGCTCGAGGGGATGGTACCGTTCCTCTTGGTTTCTCCTTGCTCCATTCCATCTGAAAGACAAAATCTTCATAAGCACTGGAGTAAACTAAACTGAATGCACATTTTGCAAGTCGAGAACGTAGATGTCATTGTAGTAGTTCCCCTGAGCCTTTCCTCCATAAACTAGCATATATCGTTCGTTATAACAAACTGCAGAGTGACCTCTCCGAGGAGAAGGCTTTGAGCCACTGCGAGATGCTCGCTTATATTAGACAAATGGAAAGCACTCTCTCATCATCAACGATACTTGCCTGGTCTTGGGTGGACGCCAGACTAGCGTCTTAAGGTTTAGTATATGCAAGTCATTCAGCATCTGCCCCTTGCTGTCCTCACCACCAAATATGATCAACGAGGAGCCTACTTGGACTACACTCTGCCCCGTGCGTGCTACCTGAGCACACAAAAACATTTTTCAGTAAATTGGACCCAGCCATTCAAAGGAAATCTTAAAGTAAGTTACTGGAACTTCTCCTTCGGGAGCAAGTATGGACCAGGATTGCGACTCCAAGTCCAGAGCGAAAGCTAAAACAGGACAGGTGTGTTATCAATCGGAACAAGGTTGAGGGACAAGTTACCTCTAAGTTTCTTTGACTTCGGCTCGATCCGTCCACCAATTACAAGAAGTTTAGTCTCCCAGAACGCCTGGCAGCTTGATTGATAAGTGCCAGCTTTCAATCTCTTCTAGAACTTGAAACATTACCAAGCAGTGACCAACACAACGGGGCCCTCGAGCATCGATGGGTATAGATCTGGATGGACTGTAGAGTGAAGGTACAGATCCACAGCCGAGCTGAAGCCAAACACCCCTTTCAGCGTGAAACACCTGTGCAAGCTTAGGATTCAGATCATCTCGTCTTAAGAAGATACTAAACAAGACCTGAACATCATCGAGGATGCCGCCAGCCGAGACGCCACCCAGCACGAACATTCTACGTCCCACGGACAAGGCAGCATGCTGTGCACACAAAACACACCTTGTTGAGAAAATCTGCAAGGCTGCAACCTACCTTTGCCCGAGCGGGAGGAAACGAGCCAGTGGGAACAAAGAGGCACCATTTGTTCTCCACACCAATATGGCTCAGCGATTCCACCACGCGCCCTTCGCTTGCTTCCTCGTGCTCGCTGTAAACCTCCTATAGAGATATACAGAATTCGATGGAACTTTCACACATGACAACAAAAACAAATACAATCAATCAGCACCTTCAAAGCGGTGGACTCGTCTCTCACAAATCTGCCGGCGCCATTGCGGGAGGCCATGGAGTCGGCCCAAAACGCCAAGCCGCACTCCTTAAGAGCCATTGTCGAGCTCTTGACATGCTTATTTCTCTCAAGTACTATAGCACTGGAGCAAAGGCAGTCCCTCGGACGGACCGGACTAGATTGTCCTCTTCCGCTCGCCCACAAAATTGCACACGTGTCCGGCCACCAGTGGCTGGATGTCCTCTTATAGTCAGCTTCGGGGCAGCAGTTTTTACTTCTAGGTTTCTAGTTTTGGTGCTGCGGTGGTGTGTGGAGGTGTTGGGAACGTACACTTGTTCTTGGACACCCCAGACCCACCAAGAGTGAGATTGCAGGCTGAGGTGCCCGTGGCAGAAATGCTTATTTTCCATTGGCGACGCCCCGGGCTCCTATCCACGCCATGCTGCTACATTTCCTTTCTACTCGAGTGTGTTTTGAGTGGCGAAGGAAGCGACTGCTTCCGGTGCATTAGCTAGGGAATGGGAATCCCTTTGCCCCTTCTGCTTCTCACAATTTGGAGCGCAACGGCTTCAAGAACAATCTTTGCACGGACACCGCCCCAGGCCTTGCCGTCTAGGTGAACAGGGACAAGGCTCCTTTGCTATATTTGCAGTGGCTATGGATCATCTGTGAACTCGTTGCTCCGCCTCGAGCAATGTTGGGCTTGAAAGCTCTGGCCAGCCGACTCATAGACTAGAACTTCTGTTGCCGCTGTGCCGGTCGTCTTGTGATCGTGGATCCGACGTCCTCCACAGTGTGCAGCGCGAAATGTCCCTTCAGTACCCGAAGGGAGAGGAGAGAGAAGGGAGAGACCTATAGGCTACGACCTGTAAGGGATTTGTGGGTGCTTTGCTTTCCCGCGCTTGTTCCCACCACTCCCCTAAATTAGACATGTGTCTAGCCACAAGTGGCTGGATGCCCAGTTTTAATTGAGCAGCGTCGGGGCAGCCATTTATCGCTTGTAGCTTTTTAGTTTTGGCGCCGCGGTGGTGACGCCATGTCGGGAACATACGCTTGTTCTTGGACATTACACAACCCCCACCAAGATTGAGATGGCAGGCTAAGGTGCCCGCGGCTGAAATGCTTATTTTCCATTGGCGACGCCCCGGGCTCCTTCGCATCCTGCTACATTTCCTTTCTGCTTTAGGGTGTTTTGTGTGGCGATGAAGAGGCTCACAGCCATGGGGACAGCAAGCCACAGTGGCAGAGCAAGCTTCGAGGACAATCTCTCGTCCGCCTGGCTGCCTTTGCACGTTCCACCCGCCGCTCTCGAGCCTTGACTCATTAGCCGTGAGAAGCAAAGCGTCCGAGTCCGAGACTCATCCATAGCCTCGTCAAGGGCGGCTTTGCGAGAAGCCCGAAAGTTCCACACCACCTCAAGTGAAGCCAAAGCCCGTGGAAAAGAATATTGCCGACTCTCGAGCATCGGGCTGTAGCCATGAGGAGCTCGAAGGTCGCCCAGCGTTTCCATCCAGCCCCCAAAGCAAAGAACCCAAGGATGGCGCCCGTGTTCCGGCGCTTGAGGAGCACTTGAGATCCAGCAGCTGCCCGCGATCTCGATCCAAGACTCCAGCATTACCTCGGAACCAAGTAACATCCTTCCTGTGATAGCGGCGACCGCATAAGGCTACTTCCCATTAAACCCCTCTCATTACTAGATTGTCCTCCACCAATCCCCCAAAGTTGACACATGTCCAGCCACGAGTGGCTGGATGCCCGTTTAAAAGCAACGTTGGGGCCGGCGTGTAGGGTGCCGGGGTGGGTCTTGTGACTCGGGTGTCGGGAACACACAACATTGTTCCTGGACATGGAAAGCCCACCAACATTGAGATTGCAGCCTGAGGTGCCCGGGCTGAAATGCTTACTCTCTCCATTGGCGACGCCCCGGGCTCCTCTGTTGTGCACGCTCTGCTGCTACATCACTGCTTTTCTTGCGCCATGATTAGGTCTGTGTGTGTTTTGTGTGGCGATGAAGAAAAAGCCCAAGAGGAAGCGCGGCGGCAGCGGCGGCGAGGAGGAGGAGGAGGAGATGGAGTGCGGCATCTGCCTGGAGGAGACGCCCGACGCGGGGCGGGGGAAGCTCGACTGCTGCGACCACTTTTTCTGCTTCCAGTGCATTAGGGCATGGTCCACTCGGGAGTGCCTTTGCCCCCTTTGCTTGCAGCGCTTCTCCACCATCACGATCACCACGCCCGCGAGCCAATTTGGCGCCGCAAGCCTCAGCGGCAGCGCAACAGCTTCCAAGCAAACATCCAAGCAAACGTCGAAGAGGACGATCTTTGTACAGGCATGACATTTATTTCTTGCTTCTCGATTGTTTTCTTCTCCCCCTTGTACAAGAAAGACTTGAATATATTCGTGACACAAAGTTGACGCTAACAATGCAATCGCTGCTGGTTGCGCGGGCTTCAAAACTCTAGCAACATCTCTCTCACTCACTCTTGCGCTTTGATCTCTGCGGCGGAGGAAGCGTTCATGAGCTGCTGCGCCGGCGGATTGACGAGCGTCATTGGCATGGCGACATCGTCCGAGAGGCGGCTTTGCATTTCTCGGTGCTCCTGGCACAAGGCACACCAGTGCATGCAGCAGTGCACCATGCAAGGATCGCAGGGCGAATCCTACACACACCCAAGCGCATCACAGACAAGAATCTGAGCCTCCAAACAAAGACTTGGGGGTATTTACCTGGAGGTGGTATTTCTTCTGGAGCTCTTGGCGGAAGAGGCCCGTGTAGATGCCGCACATCCACCAGAGGAAGAGGAGAGCCTCGCCGACGAGGAAGGCGGCCCGGGGATTGATCCCGTGGAACGCCGCCGTGCCCAGCGCCAGAGCAATCCCGCCCTCGACAAAGATGGCGTGACAAGTGCACGGCGTTGTCCACGGCACGTTGTCTTTCATGCGCTCAACGTTGCGCCCGAAGAGCACGCACGGGCAGAAGAGGCCCAAGCAACCTGCAGCCGCGGAGCTTTCAACAACAAGTCTGATATGAGATCGAAATCGGAGTGGACGTCCGATGGGATGGATCGGCTTACAAGTGTCTGTGTCGTCGGCGCAGCCGCAGATCCCCGTCGTCCACGGCTCGTTCGCTGGCGGCTCGTAGCTCTCGGGTAGCGGTTGGCCGCATTCGCGGCAACGGTGAACGAGCAGCTGGAAGGAAATCGAACAACCACTTGAGATCTGTGGAAAGACAAGCAGATCTGGAGCTGCAATTCACCTGCGGGACAACAACCGGCTGATTGAGCTCGCCCTCGAGGATCTCTTCCATGGGTCCATCCTGCTCCTTGACCAGCTTCACGTAGCGGGATGCCTGGTTGCTTTCCTCGCTCCCCGCCATTGTGACCTAGAATGGCGAGAGTGGCCGGTCAGGGTTCGATTCCTATTCCTATGCGCGTAAGAATTTCAACTCCGCGTTCGATTCCAGCCATCCTCAAAGGCAAATCGCTAAAGGGGGGAGCAAACCAAAATAATAGATTTTGATCTCATCCGAAACGTGAGTTTATATATAATGGACCCGACGATTATTGTGGTAGCAATTCGATCACTCGTTGATAGACATGCCGAGTAGCAGCCTTGATCTGCTTGGTAGCGGCTTGTTCCTGGGATTCGACTCCTCCACACAGTAAGAAAGCCACTCTTTTGTTTTTGGTTACTATCCATGAAAGAAGCTCTAATCGTTGGATGTGTGGATTTTTTGCAGGTCTCTCAAGGCGACCGCTGTGGATGACAAGCTACGCGTGGTTGCGTCCCAGTGCGTGAATTTCGATTCGGAGCTCCCGCAGTATGGCACCCGGGGAGGCGTGCTTCACCGGGAGAAAGAGGGCAGCATCACCGCCCCGTGCATCATGTGGGTGGAGGCGCTGGAGCTCCTGCTGGGTAAGCTCGCGGCGGAGAAGTTCCCCTTCCACAAGGTGGTGGCGCTCTCCGGGAGCGGCCAGCAGCACGGCAGCGTCTACTGGAGAAAGGGCGCGGCCCAGTTGCTGGGCGATTTGGATGTGGCTGGGGATGACGATCTAGCGGCCCAGCTGCGCGATCGTGCCTTCTCCACGCACGACTCGCCCGTGTGGATGGACTCGAGCACCACGCAGCAATGCAGGGCCATCGAGGAGGCGCTGGGTGGCGCCGCCAGTGTGGCGTCGCTCACGGGATCGCGCGCCTACGAGAGGTTTACGGGGCCACAGATACGGAAGCTGTACGAGACGCAGCCCGAGGTGTACGGTGACACGGAGAGGATATCGCTGGTGAGCTCCTTCATGGCCTCCATCTTCTTGGGTCGCTATGCCAGCATAGACTACAGCGACGCTGCCGGGATGAACCTCATGGACCTCGAGAAACGCTGCTGGTCACACGCAATGCTTGAGGTCTGGTTTTTTGACATCTAGATATCAAGTTTTGTGACGAGTCCATTCAGGCAACAGCTCCGGGACTGGAACAACGTCTAGGCCCCCTGGCTGCGTCTCACGAGGTGGCCGGGAACATCCATCCTTTTTTCGTGAGAAAGTAAGCATAAGTTTCGTAAAACTCGTTTCATGGTGTGTTTGTTTCCAGGTACAGTTTCTCGTCCGAGTGCCTTGTAGTTCACTGGTCTGGTGACAATCCCTGCAGTCTCGCAGGTGAGCGTGGTCGTCCCGGTTTAGGGTGGTAATCCATTTTCGTCCATGAGCAGGCTTAGCATTGGAACATCCTGGTGATATAGCAATCAGCCTTGGTACCAGTGACACGGTATAAGCAGTGGTGTTTCGTCGTGATCTTGCATGTTGAGCTTGTTTTCTTTCAGGTGTTTGGGGTGACGCGGAATCCTCAGCCCGGACTCGAGGGCCATGTCTTCCCAAATCCTGTGGATGTTATGAATTCTTACATGGCCATGTTGTGCTATAAGAATGGCTCGCTCACCCGGGAAGGTAACTTACATGGTTGCTCGCTCTAGATATCAATTGCTTTGATCAACGTTATATAGATATGAGAGATCGCTACGCTGGCGGCTCCTGGCAGAAATTCAATCTTCTTTTGCAGCAAAGTCCTCCATTGAATGGTACGTCTGTCGGTGTATCCAGCAACCAGGTTCTTGACGACTTGGCTTTTGGCTGCTGTAGAAGGAAAGCTCGTCTTTTTTTACAAGGAGCCGGAGATCTTGCCACCTCTCCCAGGTAA